CGAGTCGTTGAGTGCGAAGAGGGAAGCAAATTGGACAGCCTAAATTTGATAGTAGGTGAGTAGCAAAAGAATAATAAAATTACCGTGGTAATAGCATCCCATATATTCAATGGCTAATGGCCTAAGCGGTGGTGACCTGTACCAAAGTCCATCAAGGCGATAACCGCTATCCTCCACATGAGCCTCACCAATTGCCCACTGGGCACACTGGACTTTCCCTGCTGCCTCTGGGTTTTCCTTCTCAAAAAGCTTGATGTAACGCTGCGACTCGGCTGATGCTCTCCTCCCACGCAAGTATCCGCCTTCTGGTGAATGAACAAGCCAGTTCTCAGGTAGGAAACATCGACGTAATGTTGTTAAAGCTAGTCCTGCCGCTGTTGAAGCAGAGACGAACGGGTCAAGCTTCTGAGTGTGTTCTCCGATTAGATGTCTAAACCGGAGCACACTCTCACGAAGAATGGCCACGTCGTTTACACAGTAGGCGATTAGTTGTTCACGGAGCTGGAAGTGACTAGTTGGGTTGTTCATTTGTTGTTGATGCCATTCCAGTAGCTTTGCTCTCTTCTCGGCCTTCTTGTAGTCCGGCTGGTAGTATTCCAATGGAGGGACACCTCTTATTCTCTCGTGTAGATGTTGTCGTTTCACGTAGAGATAAGGAAAGTATGGCTTGGTCGTAGCCACATCCTCTGGCAGTGAAAATACTTTGGTGAGGGCGTCAAGTTCACAGAAGAAGTAGTTGAGCGAGTCCTTGAAAAGGACCTTCCTTTGATGACTACCACCCAAACGCATTGAATAGATTTTAAGCCCGGTAGTGCAGAGTCGTTTTGGTGGGATGCTGCGATGGTGAAGAGCCTCCAGCAAAAGATGAAAATCATACTTACCACCGTTATGGGCGATGCAGACTGTGAGAACATTTTTTGGACCATGCTGCTGCAAATAATCGAGAAACTGGTCCACGGGGCTTTGCTGGTTGTTGTCGAAAGAATGGAAGTACATTCGACGAGGATTATAGAAAATGTTGACAGGTGTTGGTGTGTTGTCTCCATTCGAATTCTTGAAAGGAGGGGAGCACCATCGTCGCCATTGATCATTACACGGCTTTCCACAAAAGCAGCCTTCCGCTCGTTGTCCAATATTTTCAACACCAATCCCCGCAGTGATGCACTTCTCACAGATGACCTAAAAAACATAAGATATTTTTTATTGAGAGAGATTACCTCCGCAATTATTAGTAAAGGCACATGTTTGAATCCCTGGATGTTGTTGCTAATATGCATCGGCTCATCTTGACTTGTTTCGGCGTCGAAAAAGCACAGGCGTAATGGAGTACGCTTCCCATTATCTTCTTCATCGCCTACATCCTTGATTGGCTGGATGTAACACGGTTGTTCTTGATCATGGGGCCCTTTGCATTGTTTACATAACGCATGTTGAGTTGTGCTTGTAACTTGTTGCTGTTGTTGCTGGCGTTGTCCCCCTGGCTGGCATTCTCTTTGGTGTTTCTGTTCTTGATCGGCATAAATTATGTGGTTGCAACGGTCGCAAATTCTTCTCATTTGGCAGATTGATCTAAATGGTCTGTTTCCTCGACGAATCATCTCTTCGGGAGCCTCGTTTCTCAGATGGTAGTCGTAACAGGCGCGATTCGGGAAAACAAAGCCACAATCAACACATGGATTTCTCTCTTCTAACTAAAAAAAAAACAATGTTTGCAATAGATATAGAATAATACCTGGCACGGAAATTCTGGCCCCGACCTCATGCACAGCCTGCATACAACACTGCAGCCCGCCCAATGGCTCCATCTTGATACACCTTTTTCGCAGTCAATGCAGTAACGTTTGACATCAAAAAGTTGTTCAGGCCTATCAATATAGTGGTAGTGGTTGTTTTGCAAAAGAAGGCAAATGCTGTAACGTGCCGCTTTTCCTTCTCCTTTGTAGACAAGTCGATACTGCTGTTCTTTTTTAAAAACTACTAGACGAACATATCCCGCGCCACCCAGATGTTGATTCAACGATTGCTGCAGAGTTTCCACGTGATCCAGCGAGTATTCCTGTAGATCGAGTGGAATACCTGCCTTTCTTAGCATTTGATGTGCAGGTCCTCTATGTTGTTCTTGCGGTTGTTTGCAAAAGGCCTTGAATCGTTCTGCTCCTTCCCCTCTTTCCATCATCCAAACTTTAGTTAGTCCTACAAATACTGCCCTTGCGAGACATAGCCGGTCGTTTGGGTTGATAACGCGGAAGATCGACCTACATTTTGCTGTGACGGCATGTTCTTGTTCATTGTCACATCCACCTTGAGTAACAGCAATATGTTACAAAATAAATGTAAATTAAAACTGTTACTCACCGCTATGGTCAGCAGGATTGCCTGTCCGCTGAGCTCCCAATGGCCAAACAGCAACCACTTTTGTTGTTGTTGTTCCACTAAGGAGATCAATCCCGGCTTGGGAGATCTCGTTCAAGCGCTCAATAGCTGCAGCAAGTGCTGATGGATTATTCTGTGCCAGAGGTCGTAGTGGCAGCGTAAATGGATGGTGGAAGTTTGGTGGATGCACTTGAAGGCCAACAAGAAGCGGCTCAGGGCGCCCCGCCAATACCCGATCCATAAGCTGCGAAACAACGTCGGACATGGCCAAGTCTGGACGGGCATTTTCCTCCAACGGGCGGAATCGGATTGTGCACACTTCGCCCCTCGTGTTGCGTGATGTTGATGCAAACGGCTCAGAAGACTCGATTGTGAAGCATTCCTAAATTTGAAACTTAGTTGGGAACAAGTGTATTCAGGTTAAGTAGGACCCGACCTTAATTATATAAGTTTGTATTAAATTAAATTCTTTTTCAAAAGATTATAATAAATTAATATCAAATTAATTAAAATTGGATTAAATAAAATTCTATTAAATTAGATTAAATTAAATTACAGTTAGATTAAATTAAAATTCTATTAAATTAGGTTCATTCATTAAAATTAAATAAAATTATTTACAATTCTATTAAGATTAAACACATTTAAAGTTCATTAAAAATTATATTCAATTAAATTAAAATTCTATTAAATTAGGTACATTCATTAAAATTACGATTCAGTAAAGATTAAATACAATTACAGTTCATTAAAAATTATATTCAATTAAATTAAAATTCTATTAAATTAGGTTCATTCATTTAAATCAAATTAATGTTGATTAAGAAAAATTCGGTTTCGAAAGAATATAATAAAATTCGTGTTTAAATAAAATTAAAATTGTTTATATATAAATAAAATTCATTGAAAATTATATTAAATTACGGTTAAAATTAAATTAATGTTTATTAAAATTCGATTAAATTCCCATAAAATTCAGTTAAAGTAAAATTAAATTAGAAATAAATTCAGTTAAGATTAAATTTGAGATTCATTAAAAATTATATTAAATTGGATAAAAAGCTGTTTTTCAATTAAAATTCATGTATATCAAATTAGCTAGTCAGTTTGTGTAGTTACCTAGTTAACCTAGCTTATCCCCAACTAAGTAAATCGTAGATTTACCTCCTGTCGCGGGCGTTGTCGAGGAACTTCGTTGTCGTTGTCGATTGCATTTCGTCGGTTGTTAGAATTCATTGTTGGAATATTAAATATTATTAGAATATTAATAAATATTATCTGAAAAACAAAAAAAAATTGTTTAAAAATACAATAAAGCGGTAGAAAATGTGAACGCGACAAAAAAAAAATAGAAATAAAAATGTGAACGTGACAAAAATGAAAAATGAGTAATTTAGGACATGTCGAGGCCGAGGCCAAAAATATCGAGTCTCGACTTTTGGCCTCGAGTCTCGATTTTCCATTACACGAGACTTAACTTAGTCGTTTTCTTTAGTAGCTTTTTCGCTTCACGAATATTTCTATACATTAGCAGAGCTGGAATTACCGCGGCTGCTGCAATCAATTTTAGCGTTAAAATTCACCCGATCACGGGTGGAATCGCTTATTTTTATTTTTCAGCTGGGTAGAATTACTCTCCCATGAAAGCTGATTTGCGCCTTTGTTTTAACATAATTATACCAACTCACAGATCAGCCAGACTCTAGACTCTTCGCTTTTACACACTATTTCACTCTTCTTCTCTTTTTTATTCTGCCTAAATGTCTAACAAGACAACAGGAAAAATAGAAAAATAAGAGAAGAGAGAGTGTACTTTCCCAAGAGAGTACACACTCTCTTCCCCCGCAGCTGGGAGGCTGTAGTTTGTGACAGCCATCCCGCTGCCAGACTATTTTTTTTTCTTCTCTAACCACTGGGTTAGAGAACATTCTCCCGCACTGACTCAAACCTTTTGAGTCAGTGCTGTCTCTCTCATTATAACCTTCTCTCTCCTTTATTTCTTTTTCTATTTTCTCCTAGTGAGCATTTACCGGGTAATAGATCAATAATAAATTTTCCCACTGGGAGGAGAGGGGTTAGAGAACATGCACTGACTCAACCGGGTTGAGTCAGTGCTGTCTCTCTTACTCTTATCATATACCTCTTTATTTTCTCTTTCTATTTTTACCTAGTGGGTATGTGGGGGGTGATTCAATCAATACTAATTTTTCCCGTTGAAGCTGGTTAAAGAGAGGAGGAAACCAGCCGACATATATTCAATTTTATTTGAAAGCTATTAACACTCGCGAGCGGGCGAATGGATAAGGCGTCCGACTACAGGCTGAAGGTTGATGGTTCGACTCCGATGGTGGGAAATTAATTTTAAAAAATAATTTTATAGGTTTTGGACTGCGGGGCAAAAAGAAAAACTTGGAAAAATTACTTGGAAAATTTTACCGCAAAACCATTCAAAAGGTTTTGGCTGTCTGGGAAAAAATTTACCGCAAAAACCCTTCAAAAGGTTTTGGCTGGTTGCACGTGAATGTCACGTGCAAACAGCGGTGGAAAGGCTTTGAAAAAAAGCCTATGCCTTTTTGAAGAAGAAGAGAGAATCAATCGATAATCCAAGTGGGGTTATATAGTAGTACTGTATATTGCCGGTTTTTAATTGAGGTTGTTGATTGTGGGGGAGGAGGTGGGGGTGATGGGGAATTGGTTGTTGTTTTAGTTGTTGTCATTAATTGAAGATTTTCATTTAATTTATAAGAAATATCCAACATATAAAAAGAAAAAAGGATTTTTTAGAAAAATATTAAAGAAATAAATAGGAAGAATGTGACAAATTAAAGATTTAATTTTAATTTAAAAATAATATATTAATACAAATTCTCCCCCTTTTTTTCTTTAAAGTACAAGGAAATTTAAAATAAAAAATTTTTGGTTATTTTTTTAATTTTAATTACTTTAATTATTTAATTAATAAAATATGAAGAGAGAATTTAATTAAAAATAATTTTCTTTTAAATAAAAAAATTTTTAAATCTGTCAATAATCATAAAAACTTTTAAATAATGATGACAGCTTTTTAAATATATATATTCTTTCCAGACATTTGTCTTAATTTTTTGGAAGTTTAAAAAGTCAAAACTTTTGTTGTTAAAAAAAGGAGGAAGTGAAGGGGGAGGGGATGGATATTAAATAAAAATAATTATTTAAAAAATATTATTTTTTAAAAAATAAAATAATTTTACAAAATTATTTATTCAAAAAATAATTTTAAGAAGACAAAAATTGAAAAAAGAGAAATACTTACATAAATATATTCGCGCGCCCTTTGGTTAGAGGGTTTTGGCATTTAAAAAATATTTTCTTTTAATAAGCATCTTTTTTCGATTTTTGTGTGTGCTTATAAATATTTAAAAATTTATTTAGAGAAGATTAAATATATGTAGATATACTTATTTTCTTTTATTTTCTACTGTCTCCCGTTGCTAGACAAAAATATATGGTAAAAATAAAAAATGAAAGCCTAAATAGTAAGAAGTACTTTTTTTTGGAAATAAAATAATTTTGGCTTCATTCCCCATTTATTCTTAACCAAAAAAGAAATCCCTAAAATAAATAAAAATATTAATTAAAAGATAAAAATGTTTCTAATTTTCTTTTTAAAATAAAAGGGCTTCCCATTTTGGAGGGGAAAAGTAAGGAAGGAATGAAGCCTTTTAAATAACAAAATTTATATCCATTTCTCCCTTTCCTATATATTCAATAATCCTAAATTTATTTAATTTTAATAATTATACATATATTTAATAATTTTTATGAAAAAAATTTTTAAAGGTGAAATTAAAAAATTAATTTTTTAAAAATATTTTTATACAAATATTTATTTATTTATTCCACTCTCTTTCTCACAAAATTAATTTCAAATAAAAATATTTTCCCTCACCTAAACTTTGTTGTTGACTAATTGCCCCCCTCGGAGTTGCTGATTTTCCTGCCGTCAATGTTTGACAAGTATCACCAGGCACAGAATCCCTTCTACTTTTAGGTGTTGAAAGCAAAGATTTAAATTGTTGAGAATAACCCTGAGCTCTCAAAATGTCTGAAGAAACCTTTAAAAATTAAAAAAAAATTTTTGGAATATTTTTATTTATTTATTTTTAAATACCTTATTTTTAATTAAATTAATTCCAAATAAATTATTAAATGATTTACTTATAAAAATATTTTCATTTAATTTATTCCCCATTTTTATTTAAAAAAAGTTTTTTTGATAATAATTTTCAAAAAAGATATATTTTAAATGGTGATTGGTCTTTTTGTTTGTTAATATTTAAAAAAATTACGGAAATAAACGATTATCTTAAAATGGAAAATAAATAAAAAATAATATTTTTTAACTAAAATAATGAACGATTAAAAAATATTTTTTTTTGAGAAATATTTTTTAAATAAATTTATGCAAAAATTTTATAAAATTTTTTTTAGATATTTCTGTTGAATAGTTAAATAAATTATAAAAAAAATAGGTATATTATTTATAATTAGATATACAGTCCAAATTAGAAACCAAATCGAGAGGAGATTTCGAACAAGATAGCTATTTTTCACAATTTCGATTTTCTAACGATCCTCCTCCCAGTCCGGTTTCTACTCTGAATACCAACAATTACTCTTCACTTTCTTCATTACAAATATTTATTTAAACCCGAGGCCGGCTATATATTTCAATCAAAAATATTTTTTTTCTTACAAGATAAACAGAATTAGCCCGGCTTCGTCTATCATCCTTTCCATATCCTTCAGGTGAATAAATTAATAAAGCAGTTGCTGGTCTTTTTGTTGTTGGTTGTTGTTGTTTAGTATTTATTTGTCGAGCCGAACAAGTTCTCAAAATATTATTATTTTTAATTTCCTTATTTCCTTCTTCTCCTATTTCTTCAATTTCTTCTTCCTCTACTTCATCAGATTTAAAAAGACAAGAACTAATTGATGGTCTAATTAATGGATCTGTTTCTAATGAAAGTTGGTGTGGGGAACGTTTTTGGCGTTTTTGTACTCGAAAAGTTGTAGTAGAAGGGTTGGAGGGGGGTTTGGTGGAAGTAGGTGATGGGGGACGAAGTAACATTTTTTGTTTTTTTTTAATTAATTGATTTGTAGGTAGGTAGTCCTTTTTTAATTAATTTTTAAATTAAATTGAAAAATAATTTTCAAAAAAAAGTAAATAGGAAGTAAAACAAAAAATAAACAAAAAAATTTTAAAAAGCATTTCAACACGTGAATATGTAGAGGTGGTAATTGTTATAAATATATGTACATCCATTACCGGTGTTGCGAAAAAAGATATTTATATGTATATATGGGAATGAATGGAGTGGAAAATTGGGTTTAATTTAGAAAAAAATGAAAATTTTGGGAAAAGTTAGAATGGAAGAAGAATAAAAAGAAAATAAAGTAAAAGCTAAATAAATATTTTTAGAAAATTAAAATAAATAAAAATAATCTTCAGATCAAAACAATCTATTGCTCAGTAATATGAATTTATATTTTTATAAATGGGTAAATCTCTTTATTTGGGGAGGTAATTGGAGAAAGCTACAATTTAAATATACCCTAATTTCTTATTAATAATTTATGTCATTTCTTAAAACGTTTATTTATTTAATTTAGATTTTATACAAAATTAATTAAATTTTTGTCTTTCCCCAAACAAAAACCCCTAAAATATCCAAAAATACTCTTTTTTGGACAAAAATAAATTTATTGAATTTTTCTTTGAATAAATGACGCCAATAAAGGGGAACTAACTGCAAAAAATTAGTTTTTAAATAATTTGTTTTAAAGACAAAAAGCCGCAGATGTTTCTGCTTTTTCTCTTTTTCTAAATTAAATATATGTATTTCCACAAATAATCTGTAAAAGGATCCAAAAAAGAGAGTTTTGGAGAGGTAATTGGATAAAATAAAAAGGCGGAAACTGACACAGATTGTTTTAACTTTTTAGTATTTAAAAAAGAAGAGAAAATAAATTATTTAAAATAAATTTATTTTATTTTAAATTAAATAATTTAGAAAATTCTGAAATAGAAAATTGTGAAAGTAGTAAAAGGAACAGAAAGTAAAAAAAGGAATAAATATATTATTTAGAAAATTTTTGGAATTAATTTCTGCAATATCCAAATCGAAATAGTAATTTATATTAGGGTTGTTGGTGACCGGTTATTCCTTATAGCGTTTCAAAAACTCTTATTCTTCTCTATTTGATCCGCCAGGGAGAAAAATTAAACAGTCATCAACAATCCCTAAATATATATTAAAAGTAGGTACATACAGTAAATAAATATTCTGATAAAAAAGATCATAAATTAAAATATAAAGAATAAAAAAAAGTAATAAATAATAGTAATAGAAACAAGTAAAATACTCAAAAATGTATAAATATAAAATAAAACAATTGAAGAACAAAAATAGTTTGAAAGGCAAGTGTTTGTCGGCATTTTTTATATGCCGTGCCAATTTTATTGGAATACTAAATTGGGAAATAAATAAATAAATGATTTTGGATATTAAAATAAAGAGAAAAAATAATTTTTTTTGTATTTTAATTAGGGTTGCCAAAATGGCCCGACTCGGACCGAAAGATCGAGTCGGGCCTAGGATATTTGGCCCGAAAAAGACTCGTTTGACCCGACTCGATAAAAATGAGGCCCGAAAAAAATGACTCGACCGTCGGCCCGACTCGAAAACGGCAACCCTACTCTTTCTAATTAATTCTCAATAGAATTATAACTAATATTTTAATTTTGATCGTCCGTGGGACTTTTATTTAAATAAAAAAATTTTTAATGAGTTTTTGTTTGTCTAACAATTTTTTGTTAAAATTAATTATTATTTTTATTTAAAAAAATATCTAAAAAAGAATTACCTGAGCAATGGGATTTAACCGGTAATTACTAGTTGAATAATTCTCCTCATGTCCATAAGATTCAATGCTGCATTTTGCACGAGGAAATGGTGCAAGCCAATCACAAGATTTGTTGTAACGATTTGACAAAGGTAGTCGATTTGAAGTACTTTAAATATTTGAAATAATTAAAGAATATTTAATTGTTTTGGGGATTTTTAAATTTAGAAAAATATATAACAGGAAAAAACTCATTAAAGTATTTATTGCAATTTCCGGGAAAAAATATTTATTTATTATTCGAAACAAAATATTTTTTATAAAATTAATTAATTTTGCCTATTTCTTGGAGAAGTTACTCCGGCATAACCAATAGTTATGCCTTTCTGAAGTGTACGACCGTTTGGTCCAATTGGTGGTGCCATTTATTTTTTGTTTTTAAATAAGAGAATTAATTGAGTTTAAAAATAAAATTTTGGAATTAATAAGGAGAATAACCGAAAAGAAAATTAAAAAATATTTTTTTTAATAAAAAATAATTTTATTTATTTATTTAAAAAGACTTCTTTCATTTAAATAAACATTTAAACACAAATCACCGCCTCTCTCTTTTATTTTTTGTCTCTATTCTTTTTTTCATTAATTAATCGGTCGTTTAGCATTGGATATGTTCATTGTTAAGTCTCCCAGGGAAACCAAAAATTTAAATAACTAAAAAATATTTCTGTAGTAGATATTTGTGTGTGTTTAAAAAAAAGAAGGAAAATAAAAGGTTTTCTTTTTATTTTTGGCCAAAAGAAGTAAGAGTTATTTAAAAACAAATATTTGGAAAAATTTTTAGTTCATATTTTGACCTTTTACAAGATAATAATAAAAGAAAAAATATTTAAAAAAAGAATTGTTAACATTAAATTATTTAACTTTTAATTAAAGTTCAATGACATCCAAAGATAGAATTAGCAACAAATACCTCAAGCTTTAATTAAACGTTTAAATACATCTAATACATTTTCAATAAATTTATTTTTTTACTAAATATTTAAAGAAAATAAAAAAAAACTTTTTTACTAATTATTTTTTACCTTAATTTATGTTGATAATAATGTTGATGATTATGTTGATGTTGATAAGGAATATTTTGAATATTACTATAATCATTTAAAGGTGTTGGATATTCAAAATAATTAGGTTCTTGTAAATATTGTTGCTGCTGTTGTTTTTGTTTAAAACGTTTGTTGTTTTGTTGATATAAATGGATTTTTTGTTTGTTGTTATTTTGTGGTTGTTGATTTAAAACAATACTTGATACAGACAAAGCTGGCATATTGTAAATTAATGGATATTTTGTTGTTAATTGTGTTGTTAATTGTGGTGGTAATAATTCTTAATTAAAATATTATCTAGTTTTTTTAAATAGCTTTTAATATATTCTTAGATTTTAGATATATGTATTTTATTTTAATTTATTTTTAACTTGGTTTAAAAAATAAAAACAAGGTGTGTCAAGAATTATATTAATAAAAAATATATTTTTAATTTTGTGACAATTTTAAGGAATTATTTAGATAATAATAACCTCCTTCTTCGTTTTCTCCTCCACTACGTAAATCAAAAAGTGAAGGAGAACGTCTTTCCTGTGATAAATTACTCGAAATGGGGGAAGGACTATGAACGTGTAAAGGTGGGGGAAAGGAATATTTTTGTTGTTTTTTTGTTGTTTCATTTGTAGTAGAAGATGTTAAGGAGAGACAACTGGATGAAAGCATTTTTAAAATTTTAAAAATTAATTTATTTATGCCTGAAAATAAATAAATTAAAATGATTTTAAAAAATTATGAAAATTGAATTTTAACAAATTTTAATAATAAATTAATAAATTTTTGAAAATAAAAATTAAAAAAATTAAATTTTACTTTTCTGCGAAAATTTTATTATCAACTAAAATATGTACATATTTAGAATTAAAAGAAATTCAATTTTTAATAAAATATTTAAAAAATTTTTTATTAATTTTTATGACGTTTAGTTAATATTTAAAAATAGAAATAAAAGAAATTGTTAAGTTTTCTTAAATAAATAAATTCCAAAAAAGGGGGTAATCTGATTCTCGGGCATTCCAAATAAAGCAAAAAGAAATGCGGCAAAAAAAAGGTAAAAGAATAAAATAAAAACAAAAAAAATTTTTATTTATTTTTGCAGAAAATATTTAATATAAAAATAAAAGATTATTGGCCAAATTATGGGAAAATAAAGAAAAATTTAGAAAAAAAAGTATAAGGAAGAAAAAAAAAGAAAATCTACAGACAAAAATGCCAAAAAGTATTAAAATATATCCAAACAATAATTATTAAAAAATAATGTTTAGTTAATTTGGCTTTTTAATTAATTAATGAAGAAGAATATCACTCCCCCCTCCCCCCTCCCTTATTTTTGGCAACAATTATTTTTTCTTACTTTTGTGATTATCTTTTCTCATTTATTTTCTATTTCCTTCATAATTTAATATTTAATTTACTTGCCATTTTCTGTTAAACTTTTTAGAAAGGGTGACAAAAATTATAAGAAAATTTTTGTGAAGGCGTGAGAATTGTAAATGGTAAATTGTAATTATTTTTATTTATTTATTAGAAATAAAAGGAAGGATTTTTAAATATTTTTTTTGTTAAATTAATTTAAAAATTTTTGGAATTTTATAAAAATAAATTTTATTTTAAAAGAAAAATATACATATTTATTTAAAATTATTTTTTTAATTTTTCTTGATATTTTTTAGCAAAAAATACACAAGTGGAAGAAATCCAAAAAAATTGTTGTTTAAATAATTAAATATATCAAACATTTTTATTTGCCTAGTTTGACACATTTTTACTTTAAAAATTTTTTGCAACGTTTTGGTTAATGGATTATATGTATATAAGAGAACGGGATTTTTATTTTAGAAAAAAATTATTTTGCCAAAGATTTAGAAAATTTATATTTTTCCACACAAATGCACACATGTAAGTATATTTATTTATATATAAAATATATTTTAGGTGAAATAAATATTAAAAGACAAAAATAAAAGGGAAAAAAGATATTTTTTAAAAATAAAATTGAAGGAAAAAAATGACGATAAAAAAGTAACACTTAAAAGTATTTTTAAATAAAAATATTTTTAAATTAAAGTAAATAATAAATATTTAAAAATAAATAAACTTTTAAATAAATTATTTAAATAAATGGCACAACTTTAAAAAAAATAGTTTTTTTTTAAATTATTTTGTGTCACCTGGGAAAAAAGTTTTTGTTTAATTAATTAGAGACAAAAAAGACTTTTAAAATAAATTAATGGCATTAAAAGAATTGGAAGAGGAACTAAAAAAGACGTTCTTTTAAAAATTAAAAAGAAAAATGTTTAGTCCAAAAATTGATTTTCCCAAAAAATCATCCAATCAATCAAAGCTTAACAGCAAGAACATTGTTAGCTTTAAAAAACTTAAACAATGGAAGAAATGATTAAAATAATGACAAAGTTTTCGAATAGTTCATAAAAGAAAATTAATTTTAAAAGGTAATTACTAGGGAGTGGCAAAACATGCAAATGCATATTTTGCATGCGGATATGCCATGAGCTGAAACGCTCAAAAATGATGTTTTTAGGTCGGTACGAACATTAGGGACCGAGTTCCTGTAGCATATTTTTGCATATTTCAGTACTTTCGTGCATATTTGCATATCGAGGCATATTTTGGGAAATTTTGCATATTTTTACCTAAATTTGTGCATATCTTGGCATTTTTTGAAAAATTTTAGTAAAAATCTGGCAAAATTTTCAAAATTTTGGAATTTTTTGAGCAAAAAATTTTTTGGTAAAAATTTGTTGAAAAATTTTTTTCAAAAAATTTTTCGGGAAAAATTTCTTTCAAAAAAATTTTTTTTGGTTGAATTTTCAGTTAATAAAATCTTTTGTAAGTGCTCTTAAACTGCAATTTAAATGCTAAATTTGTATTTTTTACTTTAAATTTTAAGTTTTAAAGCACATTATAATTATTTTTGCTGCATATTTAGTGCATATTTTAGCAAATTTTGCATATTTTGGTGCATATTCTGGGTTTTTTCGGTGCATATATATGCGCATATTTTGGGATTTTCCGTGCATATTTTGCCACTCCCTAGTAATTACATATTTTCTGTTTGTATCCCCCTATTTTCTTCTTTTATTCTTTTCCCTTTCTTCTTAGCTTATAAAATTGTCACGAATCTTACTAACAATAAGTATCCAAATCTGCGTAGAGAGACAAAAAGAAAGATAATTATATGTATAATTCGGTCTTGCAATAATTATTTTTAGTGTGTCTGTTTAAAAGTAAATATACACTTTACACTTTAACAATAAATTTAGAATTAAAGAGTATTTAAATCAAAAATTTTTTAAATAATAAAATAATATAAAAATTATTATTTATTAATGTATTTTAATTATAAAAAAATAAATGAAATATTTGGGTAAATTCAATTTTAAAAGGAATGACACGGAAAACTTGAAACTTTTAAAATTTCCCTAAAATGCAGACATTCTTTTATATTTCTTTTCTTTAGTTTTTCGTGGATTTGTAGTTTCTTTTTCATTATTTCCATTTTTTGATGAAATCCCCAGCCATCTACACAAAAAAAATTTTAAATTTTATAATATATTTATTCAAGTTCAAAACACCTAAGAAATTTAGAACCAGCAGAAGAAATCGCAGATTTTGTAGAATTCGAAGGTGCAGATCTAGCTGATTGTGAAGAACCAGATCTGTTCCTTCTATAATCTGGTGAGTGGAAAGGGCCAGTAAAAGACCTCGGTGTCAATAAAAGCAATGAATGGATAGAACCAGAAGAAGCATTTCTTCCTCTTTTTGGCGCTAATTCTCTAGTTATCAACAATGGGGAAGATCCCACATTTAAAGAAAAACGAGATTTTATTTTGCCATTTTTTCCTTGTTCTGATGCAGATCGACTGAAATTTTTTTGAGATATACATATACTTCCCTATAAAAAGAATCAGTTCTAATTTCTCAGTATTTTTTATGTTTTTAGAAGCTCTAAAACATACTTTTGAACTAATCGAATCTCTTGTCACTTGCATGTTTCACTTAATATTTACTTAATTTATCCCAACGTTATGAATTTAAATAAAATTTAAAAAGTTAAAATATTACGCGCTTAAAAGTGCAAAATCATAAATTGAATGAGCTCTGTTGCTTCTCGCAGAAGAAGAACCAGCTCTTTCTGTAAATACTAACTGAGCTGCTTCACCCAATCGCCTTAAAAATAAAATTTAATAATTATACATTTATTTGGATCACTTTGCTGCTTTTTGTAATTCTTTTGCCCGATCTTTTTTCTCACGATCTCTGCGATCCGCTTCTTGTTTAGCTCGTAGTGCATGGGCTCCCAACATATTAACTGGTAAAAATTGGAAGTATTTTAGGATACTTTAGGGAATGAAGAAGCGAGAATGAACAAAATGGTGAAAAGGGAAATGACTATGAAAAGAAAAACCCAGCGGGACAAGTGGAATGCCAAATTGGCCCTTTTCAGTATTTGGCACTTTTGAACAAAAGAGATTGCCATGCTATGAAGGGGTTCACTTTTTCCACTTTCTGTCGTTTACTCGACAAAGAGCGAAAACCTCTCGAGGATTTTTGAAGTGAAAATAGAAGAGGAGTAGGAAGAAAATAAATGGTTTATGTCAGCGAGGGTAAAAGCGGGAAATAAATGGATGTTAAACCATAAGTTATAAAGGGATTTGTATTGAATAAAAATGTAAATTGACATTTCCGTTGAACACTTATATAGAACAACAATCGAATCTTTCGCAAGAACCAAAGATTTAATAATATAAAGAATATGACGTATGTCTTAAAAGTAGCTAATGAATTTGAAAAGACATCAACTCCTCTTTCGAATATTTTTGTTGATTTAAACAATTGGAACATACGATAACAACAAATCTTCATTTTGCTTTCTATCATAACTAATCAATTGTCATAATATTTATTTTTAGATATTTTTAAGATTTTATATTAGTTAAAAAAGAAAAATAATTATAACAAGATTTGCTAAAGAAATTATTTATTTATTTAATATATTTTTTACCAAAGAAAATACAAGCAATTATACTCAACAAAAATAAAACAAGAATACAGCAAAACGTGGAGTATCATAATAATCAAAGAAATCGTATGCTTGAAGAGAATCGCCAAAATATCCTTAGATCAAGATCATTCCCCTTTTCCAATTCGAGAACCTGCATAAAATACAGCAGCAAATGTGCCGATTAGAGTGAAGACAACTGCCACTTTAGCGTATACCCCCAAAGTTCCATCAACACCCGTCTGCACCTGTAAATGTTATTCAAAACTAATAAAAAAGCAGAATATGCTTACCTCCACAGTTTGCATTGCTACTTCGGCTGTCGTTTTCTCTACAATGATATTCAAGTTTGAATAAAAGAAAAAAATGGTTTACTTTGCGGAAATGTAACATCCTTCAATCGCAACGTAAATTCTGATAGAAGCAATGGATAAAGTTGAACTTCGACTTAAAAGATGAATGATATTTGAATCAGACAAAAACTAGTTAAAAACAAGTTAAATAAAAAAATACCCACAACAACAATCCTGATGATAAGCATGGCCACCAACTTCAATATACATCCCATCAAAGCCATTTGCGCACAAAGCCTTTCCACAGTACGCGCAAGTGAAACATTCGACATGCCAAAACTTATTCTAAAATCGTATCATTTGATTGGCAATGTTTTTTAAGCTATTTCAGAAATTAAACGGAAATCTTCACGTATAGGCATAGCATATAGAAAAACGGCGGTCGCTTCGCTCACGGCGACCATAGCGAAATGGCGACCGTCGTTCCGCTCAGCACGGATTCCTCCGCTGCGTCAAAAAGGAGTTAAACGAATGGTCATAACTTTGTCAAACCAAGACATATTTCATTTATTTTGGTTTGGTGTCATTCGACTAATGTCAGCTCAACGAGCCCTCTTAAATGAGTTATTATTTGCATGTTCGGATTTCTCAACCCAAAAATCAGCTTACCCCCAATAGTCTTCGATTTTCAAGTGAACCCTGGGTACTCGGACCCTGGGTACCGGACGAACTTCTTCCACACCTAGTTCGACTCAGACTTCCGAGCTCTTTCGAATGACACCAAACTTGGCTGGTTAAGACCACGGAGAAAAAGGGCGTATACGTAAACATACCAGTTCATCCACATAAGCTCCCATCAATTTTTGATTACATGCTAAATTTAAAAGATAAAAATTAAATTTTAAGGTGAATAATATGTAAACTTACTCGAACATTTTTCATTAGATATTTTGTCGTAACAATGATCGCAATATAGTCGGTCAACATCGTTATCGGAGATTTCAACTGTGCAAGAACAACGTTCACAAAAGCCAAGATTTGATGAATTGTTGAAATCTTCGAAGGACATTTTTTAAAAGTAATCTAAAAAATTAGAAGAATTAATAAAGAAATATAAAAAATAAAATGAGAAGTCGATTCGGAAAGTCGAAACTTGCATAATTTAAAACCCTACAGTAGGCACAAAAAGTTGAGGGTTTTTATATTAACTTCTAAACGCTCGTTTAGAAGTCGGAGACTTCCGAAATGTTAAATACCCGGGAATGTGTCGATGTGTCAAACAATAACTGGCCAACGAGTAAAAAACATCACTGATATCGGATTTCCCGTAAAGCCCGTTTGAGAATAGCCGATTAAGAATTGACCGTTTAAGTTATCAGAATTGGACGAACAACAAGAAAGTTATAGCCATATGTATATGAATCGGCGGATATTGAATTGTCCTTTTCCGTTCTGTTTAATAGTCGGGAGAAATTCTATTTTTTTTGTTTTTAAACAATTTTTTTTAGGAATGACTACTTTTAATGATCTTTCCATGTTTTATACTAAATTTGCATTTTATTTGACTAAAATTTATCATGATGAATTTGAATTTGTTCATTTCCTTTCTCAGTTCATGATTTCTTCTGCAGTAATTACATTCTTCAGCTTTACTTTTCTGGACATTCGCGCAATGTATGGTCGTTATTCATCTGAATCTTTTTTTGCAAATGTGAGAGGTTTTTAATTATTTCAATTTTATTGTATTTTAGATATCGATTCCTGCAAAGTTTGCTTGGTTTTTGCAAGAATTGCCTTCTCTTCTGATTCCTCTTTTTGTTATTTGGTAACTCTAAAAAGTTAATTTTCGTTTCAAGTTTGGGCTATTAATTTTGCATAATCTTTTTTCGAAAAACGCTTCCATTATGTATCAAACAGTCGAATTTGTACCGAGGGACCCTGTATTTAAATAGGGCCAATATTTTTATAAAAATATACTAACCGTTATTCCAATTTAATCTATTGATCAGTCGACAAAATATTATTTAATGCTTAATTTGAAGTTATTTTCAGGCATAGAGGATTGTATAATATTCCATTTGAAAATTCTATTGCATTGGCTATGTTTGTTGTTCACTATTTTCAAAGGTATGTTTTTATAAATTGAATTTTTTACCCTTTAAAGGCGGAAAATATGGTAATAGTTTGGAATTCGCCCCCTTTTTTTTCACCGTTTCCCTGACCATTTTGAGCTTTTTTGTTTGATACATAATTTATCATATATCATTCGAAAGCTCTCTACGAGCTCGGTCGAATGATACTATGATTGGCTAGATCTGATCATTCTTACCAAAATTATGAAGCTAAATCCTTGTTAGGCAAACTTTTTGAGACAATCCAAGGGGATGAAATAAACGGTCATAACTTTGTTCGCTTAAGTCAGATCTCGTTGATTTTAATGTCATTCGACTCAGCTCGAAGAGCTCTTTCGAATGATATATAATTTGCCATAAAATGAGAAAAACTAAGAAAATATAGAGGAAAAAGGGGGGGGGGCGAATTCCAAACTATTACCGAAAATATTACCTATTTTGCCTTCAAACTCCAATTTTAACCCTAACTTTGGGAAGGTTCAATACTTACCGCGTTATTCAAAAATAATTAGGTACTATAGCATTATCTCCCTTCAGGCCCGTAGCCAGGGGGGGGTGGGGGGGGGGGGGAATTCCCCCCCCCCCCCCCGAAATGGGAAAATGGAAAAAATTTGGGGAAGGGCTGGGGCAAAAAAAGTGAATTTTTTTGGCCTACGGCCTCTGAAATTTAAAAAATTTTCGCCTGCGGCGCTAAAAAAGGACGAAATCTGGCTTCTTGAGGGCCAAAATTCAAAAAATTTTCGCCTGCGGCGCTGAAAATCAAATTTTTGGCGCCTGCGGCGCCGAAAAAGTGAATTTTTTTGGCCTACGGCCTTCTAAAATTCTCAAAATTTTCGCCTGCGGCGCTGAAAATAAAAATTTTTGGCGCCTTCGGCGCCAAAAATTTGGCGCAAAAAAATTTCCCCCCCCCCCCCCCCGAAAAAAAATCCTGGCTACGGGCCTGTCTCCCTTCATCGTCCGTAAATGTTTGTCCTTAAAGTTTGCCTTGCCTTCTCCTTAAATAATATAACTTATGTGAAATTATAAAAATTAAATTTCTTTTTCTACATTGTATATTTTTTTAGATCTTTGGTTTATCCATGGCTAATCAGAGGTGGAAAACCTACACCTATCCATCTTTTTCTACTTGGATTTATATTCGCTACCTGGAATGGTTATATACAAGGATGCTTTCATGTTAAATATGCTAATTACGAGAAAGGATATTTTTGGACATTTGGAAGTTTATTCGGTTTTAATCATTTTTTGAAACTCACTTCTTGAATTTCTAATTTTTGAGGCACTTTTCTCTTCCTATCTGGAATGTCTATCAATTTACGTGCAGATTCTATTTTGCGTACTCTTCGACGCCCTGGGCCCTATTTCAATTGTCCACAGATTCTGCGGTCTGCGTTCTGTGCACAGACCACAGAACCACAGAAATTCTGTTTCAATTATTCCACAGATTCTGCGGAAAAAGAAGTCCGCAGATTCTGTGGAAACATGCACAGAATCTGTGGAAACATCCACAGATTCTGCAAAACATCCAAAAACATGCAAAAACCACAGAATTCTATTTCAATTATTTTTCTGTGCACAGAAAAAAATCCACAGATCTGTGGCTTTTTTAGTCGATTCTGTGCATTTCTGTTTCAATTATTTCTGTGGTCTGCGGAAAATACACAGAATTCTTTAAAAAATCCACCCTAAAATTTTTTCTGCGAACTTTCTGTGGAAAAACTTTAACAATTTTTTTCTAGGCCTAGGCTTAACCAAATTTCAAAATTTTTAAAGATTATTAAAGTTTGAATCATTCTCTATTTTTTGATATAAAAATTATAATTTTATTACCTAAAATTATTGCTTAAAATTAATTTTGAAAAAGGTACATCTTTTTTACGCAGTTTTTGTTATATTCAAGCAATAAAAAAATAAAAAACGTGAGAGATTCTGAAATTTAGAGCTATGATGTTCTAATCATCATGGATATCTCTAATGAGGGGATGTTTACCAGGATCTATAGAATATATCTGTATAGCGTATACTGGGATATCTCCCATGATCTCTCATTGATATCCGTCATAATCTCTCCTCCTATTTAATGATAGATTTCCTCCTTAATCACTCCAATATATTAAACCTCAAAATCAATGGATATCCCACTTAATCACTCCTCTACGATTTTAAAGTTCCGATTTGACTATAATTTTGGATTCCAGGCATTTTCGATTTCCAGTAACCTCAATTTCTGACTAAACAATCCCCAGTTTTGTAACATTTCCCTCCCTTGCAACAACTTCTATCGTAGTTTGAAAAAGCCACATGTCGGATCGACATCTCCTGATTTTTCCGATCCGAACCCTGCTTTAGGACATTAATTTAATTGGAGATTTAAGGATATTGGATGAACAAGAAAATTAAGCGGTATATCAGCGGTTTTAAAGTGATATCAAAGAGATTTAAAGGGATGTTATGTGATTTGGAGGGAAAATTTTTAAATCTTTACAATATTTTTCAGTTTAATTTAAGAATTTTTAAAGTTTTACTTCAAAAAATCAGGTACCATTAATACTGCGGTAGTACCGAACTGTCCAAACCATTTTTCGTTTCAATAAAACTGTTATTTTCAAAAACGCGGAAATAAAAAATTTGAATTTAGAAGAAAAAATACACAGAACCACAGAAAAATAATTGAAATACAAATTCTGTGGATCAGTGGAAAAAATCCACAGATTTTTATATTTTCCACAGAAATTTTCATCCACAGAATCTGCGGAATGTTTCCACAGAATCATTGGATGTTTCCGCAGAATCTGCGGGCACCACAGATTCTGTGCACACAGAATTTAATTGAAACAGAATTTCCACAGAATCTGTGTTCTGTGCACAGAATGCAGAATCTGTGGACAATTGAAATAGGCCCCTGGTGAAAAATGTTACAAAATTCCTCATGGTGGTATGTTTAAATATGTATCTTGTGCTAATTTTCTTGGAGAAATTATTGAATGGATTGGTTATGCAATTTATGCTCAATCAACTGCTTCTTTAGCCTTTGCACTCTTTACCGCTGCCAATACAATTCCCAGAGCTAAATTACACCACAAGTATTTTTTATATTTTTTTATTAATTTAATAATTTATTTTAGATGGTATTTGAACAAATTTGGAAATAATTATCCACAAGATAGAAAAGCAGTTATTCCGTTTATTTATTGAGATTATCTTTGTTTGTTGGTATTTTCTGATTCTCATTTTAATTATTTCTTTTCTCTATTATTGATTCTATTTATTTTTGGATCTCTTTTTTTAATTAAATTAATATGTATTTACTAATTAATTTTATCTGTTTGTTTAATTCAACAATTCAAATATTTTTATTAATTAAATTATTTGTAATTATTTAAAAAATTTTTTTAGAATGTTACCTATTTGTCAAGATAAAGGTGAAGGAAACAAAGAGATTTTTCTAGATGCTCTGCCGTAATTTCTAATCTTAAGCTAAATATTTAAGAATCAATTTAGGTATATTGACGATGTTAATTACACAGAAGAACATAAACAATTGGCTCTGAAATTAATTGAGGCTGAAATGAGAAGGTTTCCAATGACTAAAAATTATTTGAGGAATTTTCCGGAGCCTGATTATGACAAATTCTTAACTCCAAGACTTATTGAACATCAACAACAAATTGCTAATAAACAGGTTTTGGAGGTTCTTCGATTCATTTTTATAATTTTTAAAGGAAATTCCAAAATTGGATTTACTTCGTTATGAAGTCCCAACACCTGGTAGAGCTGCAAATAAGAAAGCTTGGCTTTCAGCTATCGAAAATTGCAAAGCGCAGCTGGCCAACCAGAATTTACGAAAGATTAATTTGGAGTTACTACTTGAATATGGTTTAAAAATATTTTATTAAAAACAAATTGATTTTTAAGGTTCTGAGGCTCATCTTCGTTCAAATGAAATTTTAAAGAGTCAAGTAGAATCAAGCGAAGCAGAACTTTACAAAGTTTGTTTAATATTTTTGATAAAAATTAAAAAAATATATATTTTAGATTCGTTCCGAACTTTATGAATTAAATGCTAGACGTAAAAGAAGTCAGATGCAAGCAGGAGAAGAGTTGACATCCCTTGGACAAGGTTGGGTTGAATTAGTTACTAAAAATGCTGGAATGGAAATTGCAATTGATGCTTTAGAAAAGGAAATAAAAACTATCGCAAAACGATTAAAAACAGATCCTGGACTTGTGGAAAAAGAAAGTAAATAAATTTTTTGTGTAACGATTAAGATTTTTTAATAAAAATTACGCGTTTCATTGTCTTGTGGATCCATCAAATGCATATCCGCGGGTGTACCTCCCCTCTCGAAATTCGAAAACCCATGGATATAAAAAAGTAAAAATTGTGGTCAATAAAATATATTTGGAAAAAAAATTTACGTTCGGAACGCTAAAGTAAACATTAAAGATTTAGAGCGTATTAATTTACAATTATTCTTTAACTAATTATCCACGTTATTTAAAATTGGAATGGAGACATTTTTGGAAAAAATTTTTTTGTTGGTCTGCCATTAAATGTTAATATATTTTCCAAATTGTCTTTTCACGTTTTAGTTTTCATAAATTTATTAGTTTCACATATCCTTCCTTCCTGCAGTGTTCGGAGGTATCAAATAAGAAGTTGCCGGTCTCATTCCGCTTTTACGCCCTTCTCTATTCATTGCATCCTTTAATTTTTTAAATAAATTTTTCTTTAATTAATTTAAACCTTCATTTTTCTTTTCAAAATCATTTTTCTTTCTTCTCTAACAGCATTTGCTTGTTGTTCCTTACGCATACGTTCTGTTTCTGAATCTACTTCAATCTTTAAAAAAAAATTATTTTTTCTTTAAAATTATTTTCTAACCTTTTTATTAACAACAAAAGCTCTTTTACGTTTATCAGTACCAATTGGCCGTGAATATTCTAATAATGCCATTAAACGAGCTTTTGGACTAGTTGACAATTCAATCATTAAAATAACTTGTGCCCACTAAATTATTTGTTTAAAAATATTTCTTTTTAATTTGCCTGTCTTTTCCATTCCTTTTCTGTAGCATAAATCATTTCATATGTTCTTGTCATCATTGCAATTAAAACATTAAATTGCATCAAACTAGAGAATACTTCATAAATAAAGAAAAGAATCTTTAAAAATTAATAAAATTTAATTAAAAAAATATTTTAAAACTTTTCCAATTGTAGACATTGTTGGCTCTAAAAATATTTTTTCTACATAAATTTACATATTTTCTAAAAACCTTGACATGTACTCATATCTCCATAAAATGTTTGATATTCCCCTGTTGTCATAATAAAAACACGAATAACTGCTTCAAATGGATTTTTTATAATATTAGAAGTAGCATCTTCTGGATCAGAAGTGCCAGCTTCTATTCGATCTAATCGAGCACGTTCACATGAAAGAAAAACAATATAAAATCCTTGAGAGAACCCAAAAAGAAACACAAAATAAATAAGGAAAAAACGAAGTAAATCTTGGGTTATAATTTTATATATCTAAAAATAATATTTTTTACTTAAATTATTTTTGGGACAAACCATCAATACAAAAGGTCCAACAAATTTAACAGCTCGACAATAATACTTTAAAAAATATATTAGTAATTATTTTGTTTTCTCAAAATTATTTTTGTTCCCATTAGAAATTTTGTATTATTAAGGAAGAGAGGAAGTAGGTATGCTTTCTAAATTTTTAAGTTACGTTTTAAGGGCTTATGAACTAAAATTCTGAGGCCAAACTAATTAATGAGATAAGATAATATTAAGTTTACGCTAGAAAAGCTTTGTGTTTCTATGGAGGTGCTTCGTTGTGGAGTGACGAACTCTCAAATATTACGCAAAAAAGGAAAGGAGAATGAGGAAGCGATAATCAACCAGATACCAAAAATATTTAAATAAAAAAAAAACCAAAAAATGAAGAGAAATTAAAACGACAGCAGAAATTGAAAACATATTATCCAAAAAGAGCATAAAATCGCCTAATCCACAAGCAAATCTTATGGGAACGACACCAATAATTAAAAGTAATGACATTTTGTAAAAAATTTTTGTTGGAAATGTTATCTATTTTTAAAATTATTTTTCTAAAGTCAAAAAATATTCTAAACTAAAATTTGCCACCATCGAACATGTCCAATACTGTATATATCCCAAAGTTCTCCAGCTAATTGGAAGAGAACAATTGCAATAGTTAAAGGTTCACAAACCATACGAATCTTTATTTTAAAAAATTATTTTAAAATAAAAACAATAATTTTCTTTTACATATCCCTGAATTCCAAAAACAGTATAATGCCAAAGATGACATCTAGGATGTTCATAAAATGGAGAATCTAATGTTTAGTAAAAGAATAATTTTTAAATTATTTTTCCTCCCGAAACAAACGTAAAGAAAATCCAAAAAGTCCACTATCCATTATTGGAGCTTCCTCCATTTTGACAAAAGATACCATATCAACAGGGCTAATACTTCCATTATTCACTACTTCTCCACTATATGAAATATTTCCACCAGTTACTACCCCTTTAAAAAACATAAAATCAAGACAACTAAAATATCAGCTAAGATTTTTTATCGAAAAACTAAATAATTTTTAAATTTTCTTTTAATTTCGAAAATTTCTAATTTTTGTTTTCGGGGTAGGCATTCATAAACATTGGCTAAGCTTATAACTGGGATTGAGAGAAAATAATAGTTTTGATATGGGATATTCATAAATAAAAATATAAAATAATACAAGTTGTTGCAGAGAATGGTCTACACATATATGCTAATGAAAATATAATATAAAAAAAGCAAAATCCAAATAAAGACATAAACCATCTAAAAATTAAATTAATTTTTCTTTTATTTTTTTCACCTTCTTTTAGCAAAAGCCTCCCATTTTGCATCTAATAAATCTTCTAAAAGTCCATCAAGCATTTCTAAATGTGCCTCACTTTCCCCATAAACAACTAAATATAAAGCAGAATTTTCATTTAAATTTCCATTTTCTTCATTAATTGTATCTATTTTTGCAAGTGGATAAGCAATTGAAGAAGCCTTTAATTAAATTAAAAGAGATTCTTAAATTTATATTTACTTGTCCATAATCCCAAAGATATTCACTTTCTAATTGTAAAATTTGTTGAAACATTTTCTTTTTAGCTAATTTTGCTGCTAACGTTAGTGGAGTTAAATTTTGTTTATTTAACTTAGGTTAAAATTTATTTAAAAAATTTTAATTATTTTATTTAAACCAATTGTAGACGACCACCTGTATCGTATACTAACTTAAGCATTTCCATATTTTCATGGATAACAGTCATGTGTAAACAGGCTATGAAAAATATTTTTTAATTTAGATACCTAAAAACATTTCAATTCCCCAAAAAAGTTCACAAAATAGAGAGTATATATTAGAGAGAGTTTATAAAATAGAGGTTTGGATATTTAAATACTTGTACCATTTCCATTTGTATCTTGAGAATTAGGATCAGCTTTTTTAGCTCTAAGTAAACGATAACAGTCAAATTGATTGGTACAAGCAGCAAAAGCAAGGGGATATTCACCAAAATACATTCGACTAAAAAATACATATCCCTTTCAAATTCTAATTAATTTTTTTACCCTCCATAATCAGTCTTTAAACTTAATTCAACATATTCATGTTCTAAAGAATCTGTTCTACTTCCTTTTTGATCATCTGGACAGAAAAAAGCTCCATAACACCTTTGATTAACATCAGCCCCGTGTTGAAGTAAATAATTACAAAGAGAAGGGTCTTCATTAACAATAGCTTGATGTAATGGAGATAAACCTAATAAAAATTAGGAGTTAAATATTCCCAGTTACATATGTATATGTAATCCCCCCATTTTCATCTTTCTCTTTAAATTTTTAAAATTCTTTTCATTAAAAATTAAAAAAGATCTTTTTTTAATTAAAAGAGATCTTTAACGAATAACCAATTAATGTCAGTAGTCCCCTAAGATGTTAATTAATTTCAATTAACAAAACATTTATAAACAAATAGAATATATACAGATAACATTCTCGCTTTTAATTTACCATAATAATCTTCAGAAAGCATAACATCATTAACTAATTTAGGGAATTGATTAAGTAATCTAATAGCTAATTCTGTATGTATTGGCCCTCCTTGCATTAAACAACAACCAACTAAATTTTCTCCCATAGACCCTCTCTCTTCTATTTTCCAAACAATTTCACGATATTTTGCATCTCCTCAAAATAATTATTAAAAATTATTTTTGTACTTGTAAAATCTTTTTTTTACCTTTTCCACCTTTGCCTCCATCTAACAGTTTAAGGGCTTAAAATTAACAGAAATAATTAAAATATTTAATTAATAACAAAAATTAAACAATTAAAGTTAGTAGTCCCCTAAGATTTCAATTAATTTCCCTAACAATAAATAAGACTAATAAAAAGTCTGTCCCTAAGAAAGACTGACTGGTTATTCTCACACTTTTCTTCAACTACATAAGTTTACTTATAAAAATTTAAAAATAAAGAGAATAAGAGCAAAACCCTACCCTTTTTTAAATCTCCCTGATTTTCTTGGTCTTGATTAAAATCATCAAGAATATTCGGGCCGCTCTTTCCTTTTCCCTTCTTCCTTGAAAAAGCTCCCAAATGTTCATTTCTTTCCTTATTTCTTGATTTAACTAATTCAGCCACAGATTGTAATTTTCCTTTTCCCGCCTGATACATTGCTTGTTTTATTGTTGTTTCAAAATAACCATCAACAATAGCATAATCTCCCCCTTTTCTTGCATAACGCATCCATTTTATTAGTTCCCCTCCTCCATGCATATCAACAAGCTGATAAAGTTTGTGTTGTTTATCACTTGAAGGTTGGACATGAGCAGCCATTTTCTTTAATTTTTTAAAGGGGAATAAATAATATAAAAATTATTTTTTCTTTAAAGAGAGAGAGGGAGAATTAATATTAAATTTTGCCGCACAACCAATATTCACAAAATATTATTATTTTACTTGAAAAATCTGTTCTCGTTTCAGGCTCAACCACTTAACAACCAATAAAAGAAAATGTAATTATGTAAAAAATACGTTAAAACAAAAAAGGTATCGAATTGCGTGAGAACTGGGAAAGGGTGTAAAGAAATTAAATATAAATTGAATAAAGGAAAAGTCACCTGCCATTTTCTTTAAATTGGTTTTTAAAAATTTTAAGTTTGGATTATAGTATAAGTATATAAAGACTTGGTTTGAATTATACATAAATAATAATAATATGTATAGTAGTAGAATGAGTAATATTTTAAATGAATTTATTCACAATTTAAAAGTTATCTTTAGAGCTGAACCATTTTTAGTCTCTTTACTTCAAGGATTTGAAGGATATCGAGGTTGGATAGATTAAGGTTTGGAGGGAATTAAAGGGGATTAAGTGGGTCAAGGAGAATGCTGTGGGAATTGAAGAGATCAAGGGGGATATCGATGGAGTGGATATCGAGGGATACCGGAAGTCCCTTGATATCCTCATCCTCATTACCCCCCCCCCCCCATTAAGGATGATTTGACGGGATATAGGGATTAATGAAGGATATAAGGGTTAAATAGGATAGGAGGGGATTTGGACGTGCATCTGGGATAATAAGGGATATCATGTCATAAAGGAACACGCTTATCACGATCTTCTCTTCTCAGGTTTCATTTTCATACTACAGCAAAAGCGTTCATTGTGAATAATTCCAACCTTTTGGAGGAATTTTTCTGCATGCATTTCATCAAGTATCTCAGCAAGCAATTTTTTTGTAATTGTACCTTTTCTTATTAATCCCCCTATATCTCTCTTAATCCTCACAAAACCCTCGATAACTCGTAAATTCTCCTCTAGATATCCCTCGTAATCACCCAAATCCCGCCGAATCTCTACAAATCCCTCTATTCTCCATTGGGACTGAACCGAGATATATACAAGGGGACTGAAACGTTCTGAACAGTGAGGACTGAAACGTGGGACTGAAATGAACGCTCCGTTGTTTTTTTTCATTTCGTTCTCAAATTAAAATTTATTGTTAGTCAGATTCGAACTCTAATTTGTACGGTGTGGTTTTTAATTTTTTTATTCCAGAGATTTAATTATTTTATTTGTAATTATGACAAAACTTTATGGAAATCCTGATAATTTTCGTGTCAAGAAAGTTCTAGTTGCTGCCAAATTAGCCAATAAAGAAATTAAAACGACTAATGAAGCTCCTCCGTCTGAATTATTTCCACTTGAACTTGTTTGTTTAATTAAGTGATTGTTTATTTTATACATATTTTTTAGGTTCCAGCACTCGAAGATGGGGATGTTCATTTATTTGGAGCAGTAGCTATTGCAAAATATATTTTAGGAAATAATTCTGAATATTTCCCGAAGGTTTTGAATAGAGATTTTTTGAATTAATTTAAATTTATTTAGGATCCATTACTTGAGCAATGGCTTTTTTGGGGGGATAATTATCTCCTTTCAAATGTTCTTTCTTATGTTCTTCCGAGCATTTCTGCAGCGAAGATTGACCAGGAAAATGTGGAAAAGGTTTTATATATCCAAATTTATTTTTAAGTTTCAATTTTTTCAAGGCACGTGCCGAGCTTCTCGATCAATTGACACGTTTGGATTCCATCATTCTCCATAAAACATTTTTGGTAGGCGAACGGATTTCTTTTGCAGATATTTCTTTGGCTGCCAATTTGCTTCCTGTATATTTTTATTTTTTTTTGAGAATAAAATAAATTAATTTTAGGCTTACCAATATGTTTTAGGCGAAGAGGAACGTAAGAAAATTTGCAATGTAACTCGTTGGTTTCAAACTGTTATAAATCATCCTGGAGTGAATGAAGTTATTGGGGAATTAAAATTTATTACCAAACCGGCAAAGTTTAATGGTAATTTCGATTTTATATTTAAAAATTGTGTTTTTCTAAACAGATAAGGAATTCGAAAAAATTGCTGGGATGTTATCACGAACTGTTGCTGAAGAAAAAACTTCAAAGGATAAAGGAAAAAAGGACAAAGGACAGAAGCAAAAGGAGCAAACTCCAAAACAAGAAAAACAACAACCAAAGAAGGAGAAAAAGGATGAAGAAATGGATCCTACGGAAGAAGCTATTTCTGCTCAACCAAAGTTTGTTGATCCTTTGGCTGCTCTTCCAAAAGGCAACTTTTCAATGGATGGCTTCAAGCGTGTTTATTCAAACGAAGATACAGCTACAAAAGCAATCCCCTATTTTTGGGAAAATTTCGAGCCCGAAAACTATAGGTAGAGCGATTTTTTTGTAATTATTAAATTATAAATAATTTAGTATTTGGTACGCCGAATATAAATTTCCCCAAGAACTTCGACTTGTATTTATGTCTGCAAATTTAATTGGAGGTCTTTTTTTGATTTTTTCTAAAAATCATCAAATAATTTTCAGGGATGTATCAGCGCCTTGAGAAAATGAAGAAAACTTCATTCGCGTCTGTTTGCCTTTTTGGTTTTCATTTCTTTTCTAAATAATAATTTAACGAAAATTATAGGAACTGACAACAATTCTACCATCTCTGGAATTTGGGTATGGCCAGGGCAGCAACTTGCCTTTGAGCTGTGCCCGGATTGGCAAGTAGACTATGAGAGCTACGAGTGGAAAAAGCTCGATCCAAAGGACGAGTCAACTAAGAAAATGGTGAATGAATATCTATTGTGGGAGGTTAATCATTTATTTTCTTTTGAATTTTTAATGTTATTCAATTTAGGGCGACTTTGGCGGTATGAAGTTTAACCAAGGGAAGATTTTCAAATGAGCATGAGGAGGTTAAATAGAGAAGGTTAATACATTTTTGGGACTAAATATATGCCTGTTTAATTGTTAGCATTCTTTCAGTTATTTTGTTAGTCTTATTTGACAGAGTGCATAAATTTGTTGGGTAAACTCAAAAATGAAATTCAAACATCGTTGAACTCTCGTTTATCGTAACAATTAAAATCCATGAGTTTAAGTTATTAAATAGACAATATTAAAGTCAAAGGTTAATATGAGTTCATTAAGGCTTACAATTAGCAGCTCGGTTTTGGTAATAAGTGAAAGAAGCCACTTTAAAATTGAGATTTTTGTAAATTGCTTGGCCAATTTTTAATTAAAATTGTGCATCGAGACGAAATTCTCGTTCATCATCGGTTGAAATAACTCCAGCCTTCTGATATTCAGAAACTTTCTTTTCGAAAAAGTTAGTTTTCCCTTCAATAGAAATGTTCTCCATAAAATCAAAAGGATTCCGAGCTTTATAAATCTAAAATTAAAAATATTTTAAACACTTTTTTTTTAAATTTTTTCTTGCCTTATTAAGTCCAAGCTCAACCAAAAGATGGTCAGCAACATATTCAATATATTGAGACATTCTAAAAAATTTATTTAAAGTAAAAAAATAAGGATTTTATTTTACAATTGACAATTCATTCCAATTAAGTCCACGGGTAACGCATCAGTGAGATATTCCTTTATATAAAAACAAGATTAGAATTATTTTTCGAAAAATTAGAAGGAAGAACTTTAGTTAATTATCAGCTCTATTCACAATACAAATTCACCCACAAATCAAGAATAAACCGACAAATGTTAAACGTTTTTTTGTAAAGGGACAGACTATAGGTTGCAAAAAAATCTATGATTTTTTTTGCCAAATGATAGCACTTAAATAAAATTTCATTCAATAATACAAAAAATTAAATAAATTATTAACCTTTTCAATATCAACAGCCTCTCGAATTATTTCCTCAATACGTTCATTATTTGGTTTATTATTCAAATGTTGAAAAAGTAAACAAGCAAAATCTCGATGAAGTCCTTCATCACGAGAGATTAATTCATTACTTTGTGTCAGTCCAGGCATATAACCGCGTTTCTTTAGCCAAAAAATTGCAGCAAAACTTCCAGAGAAGAATATACCCTCAACTGCGGCAAAAGCAATGAGACGTTCACCAAATGAAGCTTCCTTACTAGCAGTCCAACGAAGAGCCCAATCAGCTTTTTTCTTGATAAAATCAAATTCGAATATAGCATTAAACAACTTTGAACTATTAAAAAAAAGATTTTTTTTAATCTAACATTAAACAAGGAAATACCGTTCAATCGGATCTTTAATATAAGTATCAATTAATTTTGAATACATTTCTGAATGAATATTTTCAATAGCAATTTGAAATCCATAAAAACAACGAGCTTCTGGTATTTGAACTTCTTGAGCAAAACGTTCAACCTTTAAAAAATTAATTAAAAAATATTTTCAAAAAATAAATATATACAAGATTCTCATTAACAATTCCATCCGAAGCAGCGAAAAAAGCAAGAACACGAGAAATAAAAAATCGCTCTTGCTCATTTAATTTATTCCAATCAGTTATATCCTTTCCCAGATCAACCTTTAATTCCTTTAAAAAAATATATTTAACATTTTAAACCTCCTCTACAGTCCAAAATGAAGCAACGGCCTTTTTATAAAATTGCCAAATGTCCTGATATTTGATCGGAAAAATAACAAAACGATTTGGATTTTCACGCAGTAATGGTTCATTTGCAGAATCAGCAGAATGGCTTTGTTTATCGACAGGTAATTCTTTGCCATTTGATGAAACTATCAGTTTTGGTCTCTAGAATTAATTTAAAATACCTATATGTAATTTCAAAAGGGATAACTCTTAGAAAAACACCAAAAAACAATATAAATAGATAAAAACCTTTGTGTTTGAACCATTAGTTTCGTCAAATTGATTCTCTTTCTGGTAATTTCCGTCCTCGATCATTTTTTAATTTAATTTTCAAGTCTTTCCAAGAAAGGTCAGTATGTTTAATCAAATTTTCTCTAAAAATAATATCCTCTTAATCACTTTTAATTGAGACTGAAACGAATTAAATACACGGGAGACTGAACTGTGCAGACTGTAATGAACTCATCAGAAAAATAATGCCTTTATCATGATTAGGGAGTGGCAAAATATGCACGGAAAATCCCAAAATATGCGCATATATATGCACCGAAAAAACCCAGAATATGCACCAAAATATGCAAAATTTGCTAAAATATGCACTAAATATGCAGCAAAAATAATTATAATGTGCTTTAAAACTTAAAATTTAAAGTAAAAAATACAAATTTAGCATTTAAATTGCAGTTTAAGAGCACTTACAAAAGATTTTATTAACTGAAAATTCAACCAAAAAAAATTTTTTTGAAAGAAATTTTTCCCGAAAAATTTTTTGAAAAAAATTTTTCAACAAATTTTTACCAAAAAATTTTTTGCTCAAAAAATTCCAAAATTTTGAAAATTTTGCCAGATTTTTACTAAAATTTTTCAAAAAATGCCAAGATATGCACAAATTTAGGTAAAAATATGCAAAATTTCCCAAAATATGCCTCGATATGCAAATATGCACGAAAGTACTGAAATATGCAAAAATATGCTACAGGAACTCGGTCCCTAATGTTCGTACCGACCTAAAAACATCATTTTTGAGCGTTTCAGCTCATGGCATATCCGCATGCAAAATATGCATTTGCATGTTTTGCCACTCCCTAATCATGATTCATGAATCATGACTGAGAGAGAATCTAAAACTATCAAAAAAATCTTTCAACGGCTCTTATCCGTTGAAAACGTGAATTTCTGCAAACAGAAAAATTTTGTCTGCGGCGTCAAAAAAGACTCATTTGGGAGAGAAATATTTTTAATTGTATTTTTGTAGCGTAAATATATTTTAAAAATTTTTTCCATCGTATACTTGAAAATTAAATTTTTTTCGTAATTAAAAAACTTAACATTTTTTAATAGAAGCCTTGATTTAGATTTATATAAAATTATGGAGGTCACTTCAGATGATTTAAAATTTCCAAAGGCTATTGTCGCCAGAATAATCAAAGATGCCTTGCCAGAAAATGCTATTGTTTCTAATGTTTTTTTCCTTTTTATGTTTTTTTAACTGCTTTATTTTTTAGGAAGCAAAAAATGCAATTGCAAGGAGTGCAGCGATATTTATTTTACATGCTACTTCTTTGGCTAATGATAATGCACATTCAAAGAAGCGTAAAAATGTAACTGCCGAAGATGTCCTTTACGCAGTCAGGCAATTGGAATGTTCAGAGCTTGAAAGTCCGGTAATTCGCTTTTAAATTATTTTTTTATTTTTGTCTAAATTTTTTATGAGCATTAATAACTTAAAATATTTTTTTGTGTAATGAAATGCGAAATGGACAAAAACAACAATAAAAATACTCAAAAGGTGAATTATGATTTTCTGAAGATGAAAAATTAATTTTTCCATCCGGGTTCGTACTCTTTACAGAATTTCATATTTTTATGCAACTGATACCCTGTTTAATTGTTTTCCATATTTTATTTTGATTCAACCCTGTTTGACTAGCTCTTTTTAATGAATTATTCTCATAATCCAAAATTTAACTGCAAATCAGCTTGGTCCCCTCTCGTTGATGTTGTAGGTTCGAACCCACTCGGGAAAACTAATTTTTACAATATTTTAATCCCACTTTTTGAGTACTTTTATAGTGTCTTCAGTCATTTCTAATTTCATTACATACAAAAAGATATTTTTCGATGTGTTCATTAGCGTACTATTTTTTAGATACTTGAGGGCTTACAAATTTATCGACAAAAGAAGGATGAGCGTTTACAGCTCCGTAAGGATCGAATTGCTAGCAAAAAAGCTGCTGATGCTTCTCAAGGAAGTGATAAAGAAAAAGAGCGTAAAACAGACGATGAAAAGGAAGGAGAAGAGAGTGATGATGATATTATTGAACTTGATGAATGAATTTTAAAATTTAATTTATTAATTTGGTAATGGTTTGGATTTTCCCTCCATTTTTTAATCCCATTGCAGCATCATTTATCTTTTTATGGCAAATTATATTCAACATAGGTATGCCTGTCTGTTTTAATCGCTTGCGTGAAATATGATAAATTATTGATCAAGCAAAAACGCTAGAAATGGTCATGGAAAAATGGAAGGAAATTCAAAACTTTTACCATTAATGTTTATAAACTGATCATAACCAAAATTGTTTAATTTTTTTAATTTATTCTTGTGTAGTATACTTTATTATCTATTGATGTTCTTTTCCTATTGTTGAAGAATTGAGATTTGAACAGCTGAGTTATCCAAGTTGTTGTTCGTTTATTGTCGCAACTTTGAATGACTTTGTTTAGTTGCGAAAGTGATTCTGCTGAACAGGTTTTTAATATTTTTTATAAATTACTTTTATTGGAGATTGCAAGTATTTCTGATCTTTAGGCGTCAACGACTGCTGATGAGGATAATGGCGATTCAACTAGGCATTCAACTAGTGATAGTGTTAATGGGAGCACTACTGATACGGACTCAAATAATGAGTTATCATTGACACCTTTTGCTACTAAAAATATGGTACCAAAGGAAATCAACGAAAAAAAGTATTCAAATGGAATTTTTGACAATAAGAAATTGAGTATGTTTTAAAACATTTTAAAAGATTAGTTCACTACCTTTTGAGATAATTTGAGAATAATTAATTATTCTCTTTTGCATCCTATAGAAAGTTTTGAGGACTTTCATTCGAACATAAAAGAAAATTTTATTTAATGAATGTCAAATATTTTCTAAAATGCCTGTCTCAGTTTTATGTTGATTTTTGGTTTTTAGGGTATGAACTTGGGAAGTCTTGTACTATAGTGTTCATTTTTAGACCAATATATTTAAATAAAAATACAGAACATAAATATCCATTTTATGCTAATTTAGATCTTCAAAGTGACACTGAAACGAGAAACTTGCTTGATGATGTTGGTGAGGATTTTGATGAAGATTACAATCTAAATTTGCAGGAATCTGAAATTGAATTGGGTTAGATTTGATAATATATTCATAAAATTAACAAAAATATTAATAGATCCTCGTATGTTTGATTTATCAGAAGAGCAACTAAATTATTATACAAATTGTTTCCTTTATTTGATGCAAAAAACACAGGTAATTTATTTATTCTCTTTGTAATTTTAGTTATAAATTTAAGGGCTCTGCTTCAATGAATGGCGCAATTCAAGGTGTGGACAGAATTGTACTTGATTTCTTTCGAAAAAGTCGTCTTGACAATCTCTCGTTATCGAAAATTTGGTCTTTAAGTGATGTAAATGAAGATGGATTTTTGAATTTAAGTGAATTTATTATAGCTATGCATCTTATTGTTTTGCATGTTAAGGTAAATTTAAAAATTGAGTGGTGAAAAAGTAGGGGATTAAAATTGAGGGCAGCCTTATATTAAGATTTGTGGAGGGAAAAAATGAAATTAATACTTTGAAATTATCACTTATTTGATTTTTTCAGAAAATTTTTTATTTAGACTATTAGGGAACGGGATATCAACATTTAACTCACATGTTTGATCTTACTGATCTTTAATCACGATAGAAACGCTAGATATTTAAAGGAAAATTTCAGTGTAATGTCTCTATACCTGCCGAATTGCCACAGCCTATTCGCCTATCAAACACTCCCACTAGAACTTTAGTTCGCTTTGAAGACGGAATATTTGGTGCATTTCCGGAAAGCAGACCTAATTCAGCAATAAATTCTTTCACAAAATTTATACCTGAATGCATCTCTTCAAGTTCTGGTGATAGTCAACAAATGACAAAATCTTTATTAAATTCAAATGAAAAACAAGGTTTTGAATATATAAAACAAATAAAAATTAAATTAAGAACCTTCTGTACACTTTTCGAATAACACAATTGGAGGAAATAATTTAGTTAAAAAAATTGTAGCAGGCATTCCATCAAGTACAAAACAACATTCATTTTCTGATGATCATCTTCATTCTTCAGCTGCAACTAGACATGATGAAGTAAAAAATAAAATTATATAAAATTTTTATTTTTAGTCAATTGCTAAATTTTCTGATGTTCCGCCGCTTTTAGTGGATGGGCATCCATTGGCTTTAAATGGTTTTTTTAAATATTTAAATAAAAATGTTAAAATAACAGTTTCGACTTCAAAAGTGGTACCAGGTTTACCTCAATTGCTTGCTTCAACAGCAAGAGGACCACCACCACAACCTCCATATCGGGATTATAATGAAGGAAATAAAGGACATGGAAGAAGGTAAAATTAAAAAAAAATCAAAATAAAACTAGCTCTTTTTCAGTGTTAGTTTGGATCTTAAAACTTTTTCAGCACTTTCGTCGTTTTTGACAAATAAAGAGTAATTAATAATTTTATATATGAGAGAAATGTCTTTAATATTTTTAGTAATAAACAAGGTTATGATATGGTGGATTGTTCCAAATCTGTATTATCGACAAATGCATCTTCACACACAGGATTTGTAGATAAAAGTGCCCAAACAGAATTAAATGTGATTTCAACATGTACACAAACAGAAACAGGTAATTTAGTTAATTTTACTAGAATTATAAAATTCTTCAGATGATATTGACGATCAACTTCTCTTCTCTATACATAATTTTAATGCAAATAATTTAACACCCAAAGAACGCTGTAAAGTTCTTCAACAAATTAATGAACGGTTAGAAATGGAAAAGTTAACATTAATGCAAGTTCGGCTTCAAGTCAAACTACGGATTGAAGAGGCAGAAGCAGAACTTAAACATTTCAAGGATAACACAAATTCTGATCAACAAATATGGGGTTTGAAGCCAACGGCTTTGTGAAGACAAAATAATCGACGCAAACCACACAACAGCCTTTTTTATTCTCCAAAGTTTTTTTAAATTTCCTTTCATGTTCCGAAAATTCCTTTATTACAAAGTCTAGCCGCGATCAAACTTTTTTCCACTCGCTAATCTCGTCATGTTGATGTTGTGATTGTTTTTATATAAAAATGTATTAGTATTCCAACATTAAATAATTTATATATGACGACGATACAATTTAAGGATCAAACGAAATTTTAAAAATAACTTTAGAAGGAATATGTAAATCAAAATAATAAAAAGAATTGGTGGGTTGGTTGCCTTATATAGTAGAATAGCAAAATTGGTACAAATCCAAAAAAAAGAAAAGCTGATTGGCTTAAAAATAAAATACTTAATACAATCTTAATCCAAACATAACCATAACATTAAAAGATGACAAATAAAAGTTGTGGTTGCGGTATTCGCGTAACAAAAAATAGAAGATCCAAAAAACGAAACAAAATTTTAATCCATCTTATGTTAACATAAACATCTTTCATTACATATAAAGTTGTTGCTGAGGATGTTGAATTACCGTCTGATTTTGCTTGATTTGTCGCTCAATCTGCTCGGCCTGAGAATGCATTCCCATCGTGCGGTAGTATCTGAGAAATTAAAACTATTGTTTTTAAATATTTTAAAAAGCAACGTACTCAGCCCACTGAACACTGTAATCAGGCTGGCCAGTCTGTGGATTGATAGCTGGCGCAGAACCACCTGAAAATTGTTTTCGAATATTTTTTGAAATGAAAATTTCTAAAAAAAGAATATACCTCCTGCATTGTTCATTGCAGCAGCGTTTGTCAGCGCTCCTTGCATAGAAAGTTGTTGTTGTGGCTGAGCCATAGCCTGCTGCTGCATTTGGTGAGCAGCTTGATGGTGCGGCTGCACTTGTGGATGAAGTTGTGGCTGGAGCTGAGGAGTCTGCGAAACGGCCGTATTCATACCTCCAGGCATTGGCTGAAAATGCTGTTGAGCAGCAGCACTAGCAAATGTCTGTTGCGGGGCAACATTCGCAGTTGCAGCAGCAAACCCAGCTTGTTGCTGATTATAATATTGATTCCAAACTGACGGATCTTGAACCTGATGTGTAGGTGCAGCATCTAAAATTCATTTTAAATTACATAAGTCAAATAACGCTTACTAAATGTTTGAGGAATGCTTGTTGGCCCATACGGATTTCCAACAGTAGTCAATGGGGCAGCAGTTGGCGCAGCAGTCAATGTCGCAGTAGCAGATCCGGTATGGAATGGTGGCAAAGGAGTTCCAGGCGCAATATCTCCAACCTTTATGCGAATAATGTGCTGTACATGATGAATTTGATAAGGAGTCCCACGTATCACAAAAACTTTCTCATTCGGATTGGGTGGCGAATCCCGACTCAGCTCCACATGAGCGCCAGTTTCTCCAGAGATCTATTTAGAATTTTTAAAAAGTATTCTTTGACTGAAAAATATACCTGTTTAATTGTATCACCACCTTTTCCAATAACCAAACCAGTCTTATTAGCAGGAACATGCATATAGAAAGTTTCTTGCTGTTGACTACCACTTCCGCTACGAGTAACAAGATCGGAAATTAATTGAGTAGCACGGCTAATTTGTTCAGGAGTTCCTTGAATTACTGCACAGCGTTCTTGTAGACTTGGATCTGTTGAAATTTGAGAAATTTAAGATATTAATTGGGAAGTTTTGTTAATATATTATGAAGACGATAAATGTTGTGAAGAGTCAATTATCAGATTTCAAATAATATTTTCAATTTTTCGCATTTATGACACTCATTAACCAAAAAAGTTAACAAGCTCTTTGATGCGATTTTTATCTTACGTAGGTGAATCTTAGTTTTTTTTATTCTATATAGCCCGGCCTTAGAGATACCTTAGTTGAATATTAGTTCAAAAAGTTGAGATAAGAAAAGGCTTCGACAGACTATTGCTATTTGGTAAAGGTTAAACCAAAAAAAAAAACAAAGCAATAGTTCTGACAAGAGAATATACCATAATTTTGTTGATCTTGAATTGAGGCAAACGAACCGTCCGGCTTGAATTGTATTTTAGCACCGGTTTCAGCAGCCAAACGCTTGATAGTGTCACCGCCTTTCCCAATAATAACTCCAACCGAAGAGCGTGGTACGATTACTTCTCCAATAGACTTAGGCCCATTTGCAGCACGCAAAGCTTGGGAAAGGTTAGGCTGAGTCGACGCATCACCTGCCAACAGACTCTCAATTATACGCTTAGCATGTTCAACTTTCTCGGGAACTCCAGAAATACGCAATGGCTTCTAAATCAAAATAAGTCGATTTTAAATTTGATGCTAGTCTTCAAATAATAGCAAAAAGTACAAACATTTCCCATAGTAACTTGATGATTGTCTTGAATCAGCATCATCTTAACACCAATTTGCTCCTAAAATTAATCAAATTGAAAAAATCAAAATAAAATTTTTGCTACCTGGAGTCCTTTTATGGTTTCACCATTCTTCCCAATTATCAATCCACACTTTCCACCAGGAATGCTCAATTCAACAGTCGCCATATTCCCATTTTGAGCCCCAAGCCCTCCGCGGGCGCTTCTCTCAAGAACATCATGAATAAGAGCCTTTGCACGACTAAATGTAAAATTTAAAAAATGAATATAGAGCGAATCTCGAACTCAATGCATTGACGAGGCCCTTGCAAAGTGCATTGACGGTACCCAGCATTACCACTTTCACCAGCCATTTGAACTCTACATCCAGATTGCTGCTGAATGAGCTGTATTTGCTCCCCACCACGTCCAATAACTAAATATGTTTTAATTACGAAACACTTGAAGAAACAAACCAAGTCCAACTTGACTTTCAGGGATGTCAACGGCGTCGACGAGTGTTTCGCTCACCGGTGGACCCATTCCCATGCCAGCCATGTCTTCTGTACCGTTGAGCTTTTCGCGTTTGGTGGGTAAAACTGAAAAATCAAAAAGAATAAATCTGTAGGAATAAATTGCAACTTTCCAGGTAAAAATATAAGGCAATAATAAATGTGAACGTAAAATTGGATAAAAAATAATTCATCAAACCGTTAATTTCAATGCCTATGAAATGATGTGAAAAATGTGTAAAATGTATGTAAAAGTATCGCTAAAGTCACACGTACAGTTCAAGTCGTCTGAATTTGTTCTCTTGTGCCCTCCGTCAGTTGCAGCGAGCTGAATAAATGTATAAAATAAGGGGTATTATGGATATTGGCAACAACCAGGCACGTCTCGCCTGTAGCTGTGCAGTTCATAAATTAAAGTTCATTAAATTTAACAAACATTTGCGCAAACCCTGCTTATAAAACATTCGAAAAAATGTGTGAAAATGCATGGGAAATGCAACATATATAAAATATATGTAAATGGAAAAATAAAAAATGTGAAATGTACTTTTAGTTTATCTTGTAAATGCATAAATGTAAATCAAAGTAAATGTAAATTAAAATTGGATAAAACATTCAACATTTAAAATCTTATAAACGAAATGAATTCAAATGGGAAATGTTTAAATGAACCAACTTTAACCATGAAATGTAAATAATAAAATGCAAACGAAAATGTGAAAATTTGCAATAAAAAATAAATACGCAAATGGAAATGCATAAATTAAATAATTTTTAAAAAATGAAAATTAAAGCCAACCTTTTTTGCGCGTAGCAGTGCTGTGTTTATTTCAGAATCTGCTAATTGATGATTTTGGGTGTCGTTCATTAGAGGGCAAAAGCCGGCATCGAAGAATTATTTGTTTTGATAGCTAATTAAATCTTTATCTAAAATAATGAAATAAATATTAAAACTAGTTTCGGGCAAATTTTATTTTGAGACAAATCAGTTTACGAAAGAAAACTTCGAGCTGACAATGAGATGAACGACAAAATTAGTTCACGGTATGAACAGAAATATAAGTATGAAGGACCAAGCTGATTTTTAGGGTCTAAAATTCGAATCAAATTTTAAAGAGATCACCAATCCAACATGAGTCGAATGCCCCTTCCATATGGTCCAAAATAAAATCCTTTCGAAACCAGTAGTTAGGCCTTATCCCTTATTTTCTATAACTTAAAAATAATTCTAAACAGCTATAAACACATATGTACAATACTACAATAAGAAAAAATTAAAAAATCAATCAAGAAGAAATATCAAAAGCAAAGAAAAAAGTAACACGTTGAAACATAAGAGCAGAATGAATAGAAGTTGGCGTTTTGAACAATTCTCCCTAATTGATATTTTAAAATATTTACATTATGTTTTGAAATTTTTTCAAATCGTTTTGAAAAATCGTAATTCAAATGATTCAACAATAAAATTTATTTTGTAGTTACATTTTTAAGGGACACGCCCAAGTACCCATAACTAGCTGGAAAATTTCTGGACCTAACAGTTTCGGTACCAATCTCTTTAACTTGATGAGAGAAATCTATTACTAAATTTTGAAGGATTCGGAAATCTTTGAGCAAGTCATGGCTTTGCGTCTACTTCCTCGCGCGCCTACTTGGGCTGTTCCCATTATTAAAGTCTTGATTTTTTTACAAATTTTATACATACATATTCGACGATTTTTAATTAAAAATGGCTGATCCATTGTCGCTTCTACAAGAATATGCAATGAACAAGAGGGAATTAGGCGAAGTTAAACACGTATGTATATGCGTATTTTTAATATTTTATTTAATTTTATATTATTTAGAATGGGAAGCTTTACTACGTTTTTGGCGATATCGCATATCCACACGATGCAAAAACTAATCTTGGTGTTTACAACAAACAAGACGAATACTATTCAATAGAATCAATCCTGCTTTTTTGGAATATGCGTGATTTACAACATACAGCATATGTACGTGATGTTTCTGGCAGAGGAATTGCATCTATCACGAGAGTTCAAAGGTAATTTTTAAATCACTTTTAAAATTTTTATTTCAGGCGCGATCTTCTTGATTTTCTCAATGGCGGTGCTCTTCCAAAAGAAGCAAACATGTTGGCTCCTGTTCCGCCGCACATTCCTACTTCTCATTTACACGCAGATGAATCACAGCAACATGCACAGAAACAATATGAACCGGAAAGGAAAAGGCCGAGGATCGATCAGCACCACGACAAAAAAGGGTATTATTGCCAATTGGTGGTTGACTGGAGGAAATTTCTCTTGTCTCCTCCATTTATAGGCAGCGCATCGACAAAATCCTGGAGAAATCAATTGAAAAAGGAAATTCCGAGCAGGTTCGTGGTTTAAGCAATGAACTGTCAGCCGAACGGGTCGCACAGCTCCGAAGCAGAGTCAAAAGCAACTTAAAAAACAAGGCATTGGATGAGGAAAGGTATGTTATCGATTCTTTTTTAAATTAACTCATTTTTTAAGCTTCATATCAGTTTCGCAAGAGACGGCAACAACCGCAACCAGTGATGCTATCGGTCGGTTTATAGCTGAAAAGGAGAGAACGCGTAAAGATCGCACAACATGTTTGGAATCGCAGTCAAGGGATTTTTCCAGTATCATTTCTGTGCTCAAGGATCTTCAGGTACTTTGGTTTTTAATAACTTTTTTTTACAAATTTTATATTGTCTGCTTGTTTTTTAGATGCGTGAAAATCAAGCCAAATCTTCTGCGCATCATTCTGCAGGTGTATATTCCTCGGGAGCTTCCACAGGGGCTGCAATGCAAAATACAAAAATGCAAAGGCAGGCGGTTTCAGCTGGATATAGCCGTTACGACCAGGAAATTTTTCAACGTGAAACAGTTGCAGATTTCGAAATTGAAACAGATCTTAGTTTTCATGGTCAAAAATTTTTTGTAAAATAGATTTTCATTTAAAACCTTTATTTTAGGGCAAGGTGCCCTCGTTAACAATCAACAACAAAGATTAGTTCCTACGGCAGACGCAGTTTCCTCTCTCCCGTCCAATTCTACTGCAACTAACGGCATTCATAAACCAACAGATCAACATCCTTCAAGACCAAATTCTGTTGCACCTTCAATTTCTGGCTCGCGCAGTCAACCTAAGCGTGTGTCGCGCACTCCAATAATTGTAATACCTGCTACGGGGACAGCTTTAATAACTATGTATAACGCTCGAGATATCCTACAGGTTTTAGTATCTGGTTAAAACTAAAATACCTAAATTTTATTAGGATTTGCGTTTTGTAAGCTCTGAAGAAAAGAAAAGAACATATAGCAGACGAGACAATGAATTATTGCTTCAAATTCAGAAAAATAATGTTACAGTGCCATATCGAGTCATAGATAATCCAACTCGTTTGAAGGATGATGAGTGGGAGAGAATTGTTGCAGTTTTTGTTCAGGTTCCTTTTCAGTATCCACGTATTTTTTTATCTATGATAATATTTAACTTAATTATTTATAGGGACCTGCCTGGCAGTTTAAAGGTTGGAAGTGGAACGGAAATCCGGTAGAAATATTTTCTAATGTTGCTGCTTTCCATCTTAAATTTGAAGAACAAAAAATGGATCCAAATGTTGCGAAATGGAGGTTTTTTTAAATTTATTTTGTTTTTTATGTTTAAAACTTTTTAGCGTTAATGTTTTGCAATTGTCTCGTACAAAGCGTCATCTCGATAGAGCAATCCTTCAGCGTTTTTGGGAAATTTTAGATCGTCATATTGCAAAAAGCAGTAAACGTGATTGGCTTCGGTATTGAAGATATGAAAGGTCGTTCTTAAAAAACCCAAATTCCTATGAAGTTGGAATTATTTGGAAAATTCTTTTGATCGTTATTTGTTGTCATTTGATGATTTTTTAAATTCCATTTATTCAGAAACTTTGCTATATTTTCTTTTCAGTTTACCTTAAATACTTTTTATCTTCATTGTCCACTTTTGTTTGCTATGCGTAATTAGATTTTGTCATAAATGATAATTTTGTTTCTAGTTAATATTTTAAAATTTATGTTAGTTTTTGACAAATCGTTTTTTATTAGATTTTTTTAAATTTTTATGATTCTCATGTTGACATATTTTTTATCAATTAGTCATATGTTTTGCATTTGATAAGTTATCATATGAACAAACATGGAAACTAATGAAGTAAATCAGCATGCATTTGTTTCGGAAGAATGTCCTCCATTGTCTTCGGAGAATTTATCAGTTAGACCACGGAAGCTTACGTTGTTTGAGTTTATGTGGATGGAAATTTCACGGTAAAAATGCTTTAACCGAATATTTGTAGACTTTCTAAATTTAACATATATTTAATACATCCTTTGATTAGGGAGCAGGCCATACCGCGAGCCCAGCATACCGCCGAGCTATAACTTCGTTCAAAATTGTCGAATCCGGGAGTCCCTGGTATGGCTCGATGCGCCTCAACGAGCTGGATCGAAGCATACCAGGGCCGCCGGGATTCGACAATTTTGAACAAAGTTATAGCTCGGCGGTATACTGGGCTCGCGGTATAACGGGGTGTATCCCTTTGATTATGATTCTACTCAATTTTTAGCGGTTATTCTTTACAAGATGAGCAGGATCGCTATACAGAAAAGAGAAAGAAAGTTTACGCCTTCATCCGTATCCCGTTGGAATTGGAAAGGTTTATTTTCTTTGGCCTCAGACAATGTTTGGATGCTTTCTGTCACATGTTCACCTTTTTACCTCTTCGAATTATAGTTTTTTCCTACTTTTTGTTTTAAATTCAACAATTTTATTTTCAGGTAAATTTTTTTGGATGTCTTTCCAGAACAAAAAGTTGGACTGCGGCAGATACTTGTGATATTTTAAAAGTTTTGATAATTGTTTGTTCTTGCTGGTTTATGCAATTTGTAGATACATCAATGATGTATCATTTAGTAAGAGGTCAAGGAGTAATTAAATTGTACATCTTTTATAATATGGTAAATTATTTTTAATTTCATATATTTTTTCTATTTTTTTAGCTTGAAGTCGCAGACAAATTATTCAGCAGTTTTGGTCAGGTTGAATTTTAATAAATTGAAATTAAAAAAAAAATTTTTTTAGGATGTTTTGGATGCTCTATTTTGGACAGTTTCTGAGCGTGGAGAGCGTTTCAACTTTTTATCAGCAATTTTTCATCTTTTTATGGCAATAGTTTATGCTCTCACCCATACTCTTTTGATTTTGCTTCAAGTAAATTTTTTCTTTTTAAAGTTATTTTTTTTAATTTTTGGCAACAACTTTGAATGTTGCTTTTAATTCACATAATCAATCTTTACTAATTATTATGATGAGCAATAATTTTGTTGAATTAAAAGGATCTGTTTTTAAAAAGTTTGGGAAGCCAAATCTTTTTCAAATGTCATGTAGCGATGTTAGAGGTTTTAAAAATGTGTCTATCTATTCATAATTTAAATTTAGAGCGTTTTCATACAGTTGTTTTATTGTTAGTTGTTGTGCTCAGAAATATGACTGTTTGTATTTTCAATATTTTAATTAAGTTTATTTCTCTTAGGCTGTAAACTGGAAATTAGAACATCTCTATGAAATGACACCAGATTTGGTTTTTAAATTTCTTTAATTTGAAAATATTTTTATTTAAAGATTATGATTATTGCTGCTGAATTAATGGTTGATTGGTTGAAACATGCTTTTATAACAAAATTTAATGAAATAAGTTCTCAAGTTTATAGAGGTCTGTTTTGGTGTTTTTCCTCAAATATACACAGAAATTCTGAAATTTGTTTAATTTATATTTTATAAAAATTTTGTTAAAAAACTCGAAACTTTTAGATTTTACAATTACACTTGCTTTTGATGTTTTAAGAAGTCACCAGCACGAATCTTTTTCAGATTTTTCAGATCAGGTAATTAGACAATAATTTTAAATAAAATTTGATTTAAGGTCAGCAGGCGAATGGGCTTTGTACCAATTCCAATTGCAATTATGCTGATACGAGTTGTAAGCCAATCAGTTAATTTGTATGACAGAACAACTGTTGCAGTTATTTGTAATTATTCTTAAAAATATTTTGACTGAATCTTTTTTTTTATTTTTAAAGCAACAGTTTGGATAACAATGCTTTTTATAAAAATAGTGAATGGTGTTTTGATGCATAGTAAAGCTGTTGATCAAGTAATTGGATATTCACAACAATTAGCTGCGCAAGGGGAATTTGAAAGTGAAGAATGTGATGGGAGAAAACCACGTTATTTAAGTAGAAGTATGCCTGGATCACCACATATGAGCCTTTACGATTTTTCTGGTATAGAATTATTTTAAATGGGTAATAATTTTTTTAAACAGATGTTTTGACACAAACAGCGAAAAAAGCTCCAATCATTCGATTGCAACGAAATAGCAGCAAACAAGATATTGATGAGGAATTGAGAATTGAAGAACCTCCAAGAAGATCACAATCTGTTGGTAACTTTGTCAGACAGGAGACTGATGAGAATACTGAAGGAAATGAAAATAATCTTTCTGGAATATATGGTTTCAAATATTCTTTAATATTATAATTTTTATCATTTTTTTCAGATAAAACTCTAAAGAGTGATAGAGATGAAGAAACTCAACAACAGCAGCGTCGAATGATTGTTCATCCACAAGAGGAATTAGCCAATATCCAGGCATATTCTTTACTTGAAAATGTTAATCAAACAACAGTTAGTACATCAACAAGTGATTTGAGACATGATGATTGAAAATAAATAATATATAAATTAAATATGTGATAATTTTTGACATTTTAAGGGCTTATTTTTGAAATTCTAATTTTTGTAAATCAGCATAAATTGGGTAATTATTAATATAATAAATCTAATTGTAAGAATACTTTTAATTTTTTAAAAGTTTTAGATAATTATTTTTTGTATGTATTTATTGAAATTGGTATTTTTTCTTTTGGTTTTTGGAAAAAATGTTTTACAATGTAATTTTTAAAAAATACCATGATTTTTCAAAATTCGTTTAAAGATATCATTGGTAAATACATATGTATATAAATTGTTGGGTTTAGATACTTTTTTTATATAATTTTTTAAAATATTTTTAATTAAAAAATAATTAATTATATGTTTAAATATTTAATTTATGTTTTAAATTTTTTATAAAGTTTTGTTGAAAGAATGGCAACAACAAATCCTCGTCAATTCACTTATTTTTTACGTGTAAAAGAAAGTTTTAGTGCAGTGAATGATCCTGACACAAAGGTTAAATTTATATTAAAATTTGAATAATTTTGATTTGTGGTTGGATCTGCAGTTTTTATTAAATAATATATTCTATTTCAGTTATTGTGTAATGATTTGCTCAATTTTATTGACAAATGTGCTGAAAAATCACAAACACGCGTTTTGGATTTTACTTCAAGAAAATGTGAAGAGAATATAAGCCAATTTTTGTTAATGGATCGTGAATTTGTTGGAAGAATGATTGGTGAGGGAAGTTTTGAAATATTTTTAATTTAAAAATTTCTTTTCAGATAATTTTTCCAAATTTTCGGCTAAAGGGATTTTTGATTTATTGTCAAAAGATAATGGAATGGTTAAAGATATGGCTATGGTAAACAAATTTGTTTTAATTTTTTGATAAAATTTATTTTTAGGAATCAAAATCGAGAGCATTAATTAAAGCAATTGAAAAACAATATTACCAAATTATTTGTTTGTCTGCTCTTTATTGCCCACTTGAATTACTCCAAACAATTATTACAAAATTGTGTGCATTTATTTATAAATATAGATCTGATTCTTTATTTGGATTGTCAGAATTAACTGTTTGGACTGCTTTATTGTTATTAATAAATCCTGTTAAGCTTAAACAACATTGTATGTTTTTATATTTATTTTTAAAAATTAATTAATTTTTGTTAAAAGGTGATGGATCTGTTGAAGTATTCTCACATTTTGCCAAAACATTACAGTCTAACTCAACCTCACAATCTCCTCCCCGTCCAGGCAATATTACACCTAAAACAAGTTCAAATAATTGTTTAAAAGGCACAATACAATTAGCGCTTGGAGTAGCTATAAAATATGCGAGAAATTCTTTAGGTATATTATTGGAATAAATTCTAATTTTATTTTTAGGTTTGTGTATTCCACATGAACTTGATGAAATTGAATTTGTTAATGAGGGAATAAATAATTTGGCTTTAGAATTTCTATTAGCGTTTATTGTACAATCACCGATATTTAATGGTGGGGATGATTTTGCTTTTACTGTTGAATTAATTGATAATATACTGAAGAATTTTATTTGTTATTTTCCAAATAAAGTAAGTTTTTAATAAACAAAATTATTCTATGGAAATTAAAATGAAAATTATCCTTGACTCTTGCCACGCTTATAAGGTGGCAAGTGTTTTTTCAGGCCTCCGGCGATTTTTCACTTTTTAGCATGTAAATAACCAAAGGGCCACATTTCCTCCCTTCTAAAAAATAGAAATAATTTTTGGCAATCAAATAAATTTGAATCATAAAAATATTTAAAATAGTTCCTGAATATATTTTCATTTCCTAGCTTGTTGAAATGTACAATCTATGCGAAGATGAGTTACAAACAATGGCGGAATATCAAAACCAAGAAAATAATGAAAATTATTTTGGAAATGAAGAGCAACAAAAAACTTCTAGAGCACCTAATTTTTCCCATTTACATTTTAAAACTTTATTAGAATTAATTGCAGCATTATATGAATCAGAGAATAATACACAATTAATACAACTTTCGGCAGAATTTACAAATCCAAATTGTGTAAGAAAGAAAAAAAGAATTTACATATCTTTTTTAATTATTTTAATTTAAATAGGAAGGACTTTGTGACTTTATTTATCGTGGAAGAACAATTTCAGCACCGGCATTAAAAGTTGCATATTTGGACATGTTACGATCATTATGTAAGAATGGGCAGTCAGCGGAAGTTTTCTTTAATATCTTTAAATAATGGAACTTCTTTTGTTTCTAAATATTTTTTGAATTAATTAAAATTATAAAATTTTAATTTTTGAGAAGAAAATTAACAAAAAAAATTTTTAACAAAATAATATTTAATATTTTAATCACTTTCATGAAAAGTTCAGCAAAAAATTGATGAAAAATATATTTATTAAAAATCTTTACAAATTATTTAAATTTTCTGTCACCATTAATTTATCAGACCGCTGCCTTAAGGGCCCTAATGACGCACTTCTTCCTTCTGCTAATTCTTTTCTTGCACTTTCTCTTCTAACAAATCTACTTTCACAAATTCCCAATCGAGGTGAAGGTATTGGAGTTCCTGGTGGTGGAGGGGGATTTTGATCATTACCACCGCCACCCATAGCACGTTCATACCCTATGCGCATTTGGATTATAATAAAGTTTATCTAAAAAAATGTGAAGAAAATTATATTATGGCTAAATATTACTTAAATTCTTTCAACTACTTATTATATTAGCTCTCTCCCCCTTATACATTTAATAATTAAAATGGAAATATGTTAGGATTGATAAATAGGCAAATAGAGCTAAACTTGTTGAGCAAAATATGTATAACTTTATGAAGTCGAACGTTGTTTGATTATGCCAATGGCTAGCTTAACTTAATTTCAATTAAAAAGTTACCCCGCTTAGAAAAATTAAGATGTAATTAAATTTTCGCAAAAATATTTATAACTTGCCATAATCTTCCAAAGATCATGACCTTCAGCATTTTGAAAAACTTCCTTTGGAGGATTATCCTTAATAATTTAATTAATTTAAATATTTAATTATTAATAACTTCAAAGCAACGCGTGAAAAGTGCCCAATGATGTCTTTAAAAATTAAAATAAATATAAAAGGATATATTTTTAATATACGGTTCAATTGGCCATGGCAACCGAGAATGTTTAGCGCCCAAACACTTAAAATTTTTAAAAATTTAATAGAAAGTTTAAAAAATTTACTTGAAGGGCTAAACAAACCTTTAAAAATTAAAAAAATAATTATTTTTAAATTGTAAAAGAAAAAAACTTTTTGTGTTTCATTATTTAAATTAGTTAAAACAAAATCTAAAACAGTTGCAAAATTAGCTGATTGACGAAGAAATGTTGAGCTAATAAATAAATAAATTATAAAAAATATTAAATTTACCTTAAAATAACTTCACGATCACTTAATCCTAACTGAATAAAAAATAATTTAAAATTATTTTAATTAAAATAACCAAATCAAAGAATTGATACATTTGGGCATTAGATCTTAATAAATGTGACATTATATTTTTAGTACAATCAGTTATTTCGTTTTCTGTTGATAATTCCCACATTTTTTGAAGAATAGATATTTGGTGTTTTGTTAAACCGGCCAAAGTTAAATCTACAAATAAATTATTTTTTGTATTTAAAAATTGTTGGTGAATATTTGGAAATTCTAGAATGTAATAAATATTAAATTAATTAATGCCCGATTTAATCCCTTAAAAGAAACTCTCCCTCTCTTGATGGACGAAAACTTCCATTTTACATAAATATAAATTTGGAGAGAGTACATATCTCCTTCTGGGACTTATATCTCGCTCCATAACCCCAAGTATCTCCAACTCTAACAAAATTATTTTCAATTTATTAAGAGAGCAACCCCCCCCCCCCCCCAATTTAGTAAATAATATCTTTAAAAATTTATTTTACGTTTTTCATAAATTCTAAAATCCAAATCAAAACTACAAAATTGTCCACTTTGTTTTCGAAAAGGACGAGGTGATTGTCCAATATTATTATTTAAATTTGTATTTGTTTGTTTTAATTTCCCTCCAACTAAACAAAGCAAATTTTGTTGTGCAGTGTGGGGATTTTGTAGTTGTAAACCAATTAATTGAGCTGCTGCCTTTTCTGGATTCCAAAGTTCCTTTTCACGGTTTGAAATACTCTTTTTTGAATTTGTAGTTGTTCTTGGAGAACAACGAGCTGATCCACTAATATATAATTATAAATAGAGTATTGGATGGAGGGAGGTTATGTTTATTGTGAAATATGTAATATTGTGGAAGGAAAAATCTTATAACATTTAATTACATACATAATTTAAATTTAAAAAAAACATACAAAACAGTTTTTATTTGATTAACTGCCTTTGGGTCAAGACTTTGACTTCTACTTTGCCGTTTTTGCTCTGTTTGCCTTTTTTGTGAAGGGTGGAAGTTACGACTACTTGGAGTTTTTTGACGTTGTTCAGGTACTTTATTTCGTTGACGAAAATTAATTGGAACAGAAGAAATTGACTTTAAAAATTATTTTAAATTTTAAATAGGATATTTAGGTATATTTACTTGTTTCTTTTGTTGACCAGTAGTAGATATTCCTTTTTTAATTCCTCCTCCTCCTCCCCCACTACTACCTCCAACGGTGTTAATATCTTTTAAAGGACGGTTGCTAGTATAACTTTGTGTTTGCCCCATATTTTTAAATTTAAATTAATTTAAATAGAAAGAAATTAAAATTTTCTTTTTTTTACTAAAATTTCCGGCAATTTGGCACATTAATTTTTTGGACGAATAAAATATAAAAAAAGGGGAGGAAGGGTTTGTTCTCCTTCGCTTTTTTTACTAATGGATTCTTATTTTGCTTTATAGAAAGACGTGCCATTTTTAAGAAAATTTAAAAATTATTTAAACAATTAATGAAAAGAAATTAAGTAAAAGAGTTTTTGTGTTGTTAAAGATTTTTAAAAAGAAAAATTAAAAAAAAAAGAAAATTATTTTAAATTAATTTTTTTGTTTTTCTTTCTTTTCTTTTTTACAATAATTAGTTCCCTCAATTCGTTCCTGATTTGGATAACAAAAATAAGCTTCTTCAAACCCCAATTCAGAATTTGGTTTTCCTTTAAAGGAAATTAAATTTAAATAAAAAAATATAATTTTTCTTAAATTTACCCAAAACTTTCATTGCATTTGTATACTGAAATATTCCCCCTTTAATTCCAATTAAAAGTACTGACTGAACTGTTGAATTAGCATCCACTTTTGAATTTTGTATCGGATCTCTAGAAATATTTTTTAAAAATTATAATTAAAAATCTAAACTTATTAGCAATAAAAGTAGCATTTAAACGATATATTTTTGACTGATTTTGTTCATTAATTAGTTCTCCAGTTACTTGTAAACGCCCACAATCATTATTTTTTTCTAACAATTTTTTCTCATTTTCTAAATTTATTTGTTCATTAGAATCCCCACAAATTAGCCAATCTGTTTAGAAAAAATTTTTTTGTAAAAATTAATTTTTAATTAAAAATTACGTTTATTAACAAATCGAAGGGAGGCAAGTACACTAAAAGAAATAAAATTTTTAAATTTAAATATATTTTCTGTTTTCTTCTCAAAACCTTTTACGCATAATAGAATTCCAATTTTGAAGTTTATTTACTGTTTCTATATCCGCATTTGGATATGTTACTTGTAGTCGAACAACACGAACAGCTGGTTCTGATAATGATGATGATGATTGGTTATTTGCTGTTTGTTGTTGTCCAAATATTGAAATAAATAAATTTAAATAAATTAATAATAATAATAAAATATTAAACATTTTCTTTTTTTTTAAATATTAAAAATAATATTAAAATAATTTTTTCTTTTTTAAATTCTAACAACAATTATGTATATATTAGCCTTTTTAAGTAAATCTTCTTCTTTTTTACTTAACCTAACTCAACTATACTTATTTCCTACTTGAATATATTTTTTTAAATCGTGACCCCCTTTTTCTCATTTTTTGGAAAAAATCTGGTTACAAAATTTGAAAAAATAAAATAAAAACAATTAAAGAATAATAAATAAATATTTTTTAGTTAAAAATAAATAAATAATTATTTATTTTTATCTTCTTATTTGGTCAATTATAAACCGGAAATGCTTTTTTTTAGCTAAAAATACAATCCACATCCATTTCTAGTTTTTTATTCTCTTTTACAAAATATTTTAAATAATTTTATTTTTTTGAAAGATTTTAAAAGATTAATTTAAAAAAGTAAATCATAATTTAATTAGAATCACAGTGTGTTCCCCCACAAAAACGTCTAGATCTTTCTACCATAGAATCCACTAAATTATTTACAAATTCAAATCCAGCTTTAATTTGTATTTGAGCATTTCCTGTTGTGTCAGCAATTATCTATTTAAAATTTATTTTTTCTTTAAAAAACAGTCAAAACAACCTTTCTACACCCAACATTAAGTAAAGAATCTATACCCAAATTTTGACTATTTGGTTTATTTTTAATACAATTATTAAGAGCATTATCAATAGTAGATGCCCAATCATTTGTTGATGTAATCCTTTTTTTATTTATTTAAAAAAATTCTTTTTAATTCTTTCAAAAACCCTTACAATTGTCTTTTAATATTAGAAACACATTGATCTACTTTAGAACCAGATCCGATAGAAGGGGCAGCCCTAGACCCACTACCATCAACTGCTTCTTTAATAGCATCAGCTATACCAGCAATTCTTTGTTTTAAATCATCTCTAGCTTCATCAATACATGCACAGACTGCTGCTTTTGTTGTTTTTAATGGAGTAACACATTCTGCAGTCTGAGCACCAATTTGATCACACGAATTTAGTACTTTATTTGAAAAAATATTAAAAATTAATTTTGAAAATTAAAATAATTTTAAGAGAGTATTGTGTAGTATTTTAATTAGTATAAACAATAATGATGTACATTAACGAACGTGCCGCCCCGATTCTCAAAAATCGGGAATATATTTTTTCTCGGCACATCCCCAAATATTACTTCAATTAATCTCCTAACCTCTGCAATGTTTTGAGTAAAATCCAAGAAATGGTGACTTTAAACATTCTCTAGTTTTAGCTGCACGTTCAGGTTTACGTTCAGCACAAAATGCAAGACGAGAATGTATCCAAATATAATCAGAAATTGAATCTATTACCTTTTAAATTTTTTATTCAAAAAAATATTTATTTATTTTTAAACTTCTTCTCGAAGTCCAGAACCCCCTTCTTCCAAATCAGGAATCTCTGGAATACCTCCAAAGTCCTGTACTTTTTTACGTAAACAACTTTCTGATTCAACAGCTATTGCTTTACTTATTTGTTCTCTAATACATTTTTGTTCATCAGCAGGGGTTGACAATATTGCTTTAATTGCTCCAGTGGCAAACTAGTGGGAAAAATTAGAAAAATTTTGTTAATTAATTGTAAATATTTGAAATATGTATTGGGAAAAAGAGAGGAAAAGCCATTCAATAATAAAAGGTTGATTAATATTTAGAATAAAATTCCAGGAAAATTATTTGTAGAGAGAAATAAACAAAAATTAAATATATTTACAGTTCTACAAATAGAGCAATCCCTCAGGGGACCATTTCTATCCCAAGCTTTTTGTTCCAAATCAGAAACAGAAAGAACACAACGTTCTTGACTATTTGCATCTGCAATATTTTGTGCAAAGCAAACACTTGCTGCTTTTCTAAAAAATATTTAATTTCAAAGTAATCCCCCTCCCTCCCCCCCTCCCCACCTTGTATGTAATTTTAATTCTTCTTCAAAAGAAGAATATTCTTTGTCTAATTCTCCTTTAAGACAACTTAAATAAGAATTTAAAGATTGTTTTGTGTCACAATTATTTTCAGCCAAAATAATATTAATTAAATAATTAAATAAAAAAATTAAAATAATTATTTGTTGTGAAGAAGAAGACATTTTTCTTGTAAATATGTAAAATTGTTATTAATAGAAAAAAATATATTTTAATATTTTTTATAAAATAAATTTTATAAAAAAATCTTTTTTTACTAAATAAATATAGATTTTGAATAAAAGTCCTACAAGCAATTATTTAATGTCAATTAAAAAAGGGAGGAAGAGGATTTAATAATAAAATATAATTGTTGCGAAAAGTTATCTATTAAATTAAGAATAAATTTAAAATATTTTTAATTAAAAATATTTATTAGTTTTGTTTTTATAAAATTATTTAATGATAATCTTATTATTTTTTTATCAATACAAATTATTTTTTTTCGACGCTTTTGGGCGCCTTTGTGTGAATGAAAGGATTTTTGTTTGATATATTTATGGATATATTTATTTATTTAAAAGTTTTGTGAATAAAACAAAAATTGGAGCGAGACAAAAATTTATTTTAATAAAAGAGAAGAGAGAGAAAAGATTGTTTTTGAATTGCGCAGAATCTAGGACAGAAACAAATCACATAAAAGAGGGATAAATAAATAAATAAATGATTAATTTCCGATTTTTTATATACAAAAATAGATAAATGTTTAATTAAATAAAAATAAGTATTTTTATCAAAAATAATTAAATAAAATAAATCTGATTTTGCAAGTCAACAAATAAATTCAACCCAAGTTATTGCCAACAAAAATTAATTGTCGATCTCCTTCGAACATAAATTTAGTGGCAAATTTTTAACTCTAAAAATAAGTAATTGTCGAAGAAATCTAGAAAATCACTGAATCAATCGAGAAATATACATAATTAATCTTCTTTCTCTTAAATATATTTTTCTGTTTCTCCAAGATGCAAACTATTTTAGGAAATAAAGTATTTATTATTTATGGATTCTAAAAAAATAATACTTTCAATTTATGGATTGTAAATACACCTTTGGGGAGTAGGTATCGCTTTAGTCGTTCATCCCAGCCGGTGGATAAACAAATTTTAAAAATTTTAGTTACAATTAGAGGTCTGCTTGTATAAATAAAAAAAATTTCTTTAAATAATATTATAGATAATATTAAAATTAAATAAAAACATATTTAATAATTGAGATCAAATAGTAAATTATTATGTATACATATTGGCCCTTTGTCCAGATTACGCGTTCAATCAAGGGCGATAAGTACCTGATTTTTCACGATAAGTACTATTAAATCAATGGGAATAGAAAGCTCTACTCATACAGAGGTAGCGTTAACGACCACACACACTAGCGTTAACGACCATAGGTGCTAACACACAGAGCCGGGTACTTATCGCTCATAAACATTTCATTGGAGCTTAAACTTTCGCGTAATCTGCACATAAATATTTACATATAATATTACTAATATAATATATTACAATAATTTTAAAGACTCCACCCTTTTACTTTTCTTTCCTTTTCTTTTATTGGTTAGAGCCATTCTGTTGGCCATAACTATTTGGAGAAGAAACTACTGCCGTTGAAGCAACGCTGGAAATTCCATTTTGCTTATAAAAATTTCTATAAAGTTCATCGGCAGCTGTTTCTGCTGAACTAAAACAGTTTAATTGAGTGCTGAAAATTGAAATTAAAAATTAAAACTAAATTTCCCAGGAAAACTAACCCCCCTCCAATTACTTGTCCAAAAGAACTCATTGCAGCATAAGGACTCATATTCATAGCATTTGGATAGGTTGCACTAGTCATTGAACGACTACTTCCCATAGGGTATGCAGCCGCAGAACACCTGAAAATCACTAATTTAATCACAAAACCTTTCTGGAGATCTCTGAAAGTAAAATATAAATACACAGAATTTTCTTAAAAATTATTAGTGAAAATTTTAAATAGAAGTTTTATAGATTAAGATTATTTTTATTATTTTAAGTAGAGGGAGTTAAGTTGCCATTCAGTTAACAATAGTGCTTTGATATTTCAATTATTTTAACTTTCAAAGCACTAGCTACTCCAACAATTATTATTATTTAATTTTTCTGAACAATCTATCTGACTAAAAATATTTTTATGAATTTACCAATAATTACTGTCAATACCCCCACCACCTCCACCACCACCATTACTAGTACTATTATTATTTCCAATATTTCTTCCATTAGTTCCAGAATTATTTCCATAGCTATTTACTGAACATAAAGTTGACTGAACTAAAGCATCTGCTCGAGCAACGGCTGCCTGCTGTTGTTGATGTTGAGCTAATATATTAGCTTGTGCAAGCATTGGACCCAAATTTGAAGTACCCCCAACAACTGCAACAGCTGTTGAGGCAGCTTTGTCTAGTTGTTTCTTCTGTTTTCGAAACTAAAAATAAAAGAGGAAATTTTGGTGTTAAATTTTTAATATAAAAATAACCTTTGCTCGTCTGTTTTGGAACCAAACCTGAAAATTGAAAAATTGTAATAAATTGGAATTTCTTAATTAAGACTTTTACAGAAAATATAAGAATTACGGTTAATTGGAACGTTAAAAATAAAGTAGTGATATTTCCAGACGGTATATGTAAAATGAGGGGTTTTCTAAAAGGAATTTCTGTTCAAAAATTGAAGACGCTCAATAAATTTTGTTTGTAAATTTATAAATATACAAATTTCCCCCCTTAATTTTTAAAAGTTAATCATTCTCAAATCCACACAATCAAACATCCCCTCTCCCCTTCTTCTTTATAAATTACTTCCTCAATTATTTTAATTCTTTTCTATTCTTCCACTAATCCGCTCATTCCTATTCTTTATTTTCTTCGCAGTTTTTGTTGGTGGTGGCTGTCGGCAGATGTGTATATGCATTTTTATTCTCTTCTATTATATATTAAGTCTCAAACAAAAATTGCGGGAAATTTTGCCCATCCTTATATGTATGTATTCAAAAAATTGGTGAAGAAATGATGGGGAAAAGTATATTCAAAAATGAAATGACAATTTTTTAAGAAAATGAAAGGAGAGGAGGAATTTTGGAAGTAAATGGGAAAAAAATAATTGTGTTTATAAATAAAAATAAAATTTAATAGTTTAAATTAAGTAATTTGAAAGAAATGATGACTTTAAGAGGAGAAGTTTGTAATTTGGGAAGGGACTGAAGAGAGCTTCCAGAGTTTTAAAATTTTGAAGGTTTTTTATCAATGTCTATTATTTATATAAAAATATGTATACTTAAACAATTTTTAATTTATTTTTTGATAAAAACTTAGTTCCTTCCTTCTCTTTTCCTCTCATTTTATGCATAATTAGGCTTACTCAATTGTTATGTTTATATTTATACTATTATTATTTTGTCCCCCATTTCTCATTTCTTTTTGTCCTCAAAGTCCTCTCCATCCTTCAATTCTATTACTTTTCTTGTATTTTCAATAGAGCGAATTAATTGGCCTTCGGGATTCTCCCTCCCTCCTCCCCTCCCCCACCCCTTCCCTCCAACAAACACTTCTTTACTTAAAAATCGACTCGCGCACCCCCCTTATAACCACCAATTTTGAGCCTTAACCAACTACTTCCTGAGGGAGTTATAATAAGAAACTATTCTAGATATGTAAAAACTTGCCCAAGCAATGACCCGGAAAACAAAAAGAATTGAATAAAGCTAAAGGAAATTTATAACTAATTCCAGTAATATATATTGCGTAATTGTTAGTCTGGATATTTTAATATTTTGTTTTTTGAATGAGGTACTACACAAATTTTAAATTTATTTACCTGAATACGAGCCTCATTAAGTTTAGTGGAACGTGCCAACTCTTCTCGCTGATAAATATCTGGATAATGGCCTATATTGTTGAAAGTATTATCTAGTTCATTAAGTTGTTCAGCTGTGAATGTTGTTCTATGTCGGCGACTTTAAAAAATAAAATTTTGGAAATTATGTATAAACCTCCACAAATAGTTAAAAATAATAATTTTTGAAAGTAAATTTATTTTTAAAATAAATATATAGATTAATTACCGCGCTGGAGCTGAGGAATAAAGTGTTGAGGAAGATGAACAATTATTCCCAGCTGACAGAAAAATATTTCCGCTTGTTTGTCCCAATCTTGGTTCTTGTTTAGGTCGTTTTAGGTGACTAGACTGATCATTTCCCCCACCATTTATGGCATTATTTACAGCTGCTAAAGCGGCAGCAGTTGAATGGCCATCAATGATTGGACGAAGACTTGCCGCTGCTGACGCATATGTATTATAATGAGAGAAATCAGCTAAAGTATCAGCACTGCATCCACTCGGTTTTATATCCTTTATAGGGATAATTTAAAAATTTTTTTTGTAAATTATTAAAAGGGTTAAGAATTGATAACAAAATCTAGTCCTCACTCAATATTCGTTATCTACATTGTGTTAAAAACCTATTAGGCTATTACTTAAGGGTACTGACATGAGAGGAAAATATTTAATTAAAATAAATTAAATGAACATAGGCATACTCCGAAAGGATTTTTAAAAAGAAAAATGAGAGAGGGAGAAAAAATAAAATTATGTAAAATTTGATTTGGTAAAAAACCTCAACATTTTCCTCCTTTTCCATCCATTCTTAAATAAATTTAACAAAAATTCGATTTAGTCTTTTGTATAAATTAGTTTTATATATTTGTGTGCCCGCCCCAATGGTTGTGGTTGTCTTTATTTATAAATATATTTATTTATTTAGTTATTTTCCCTCTATCACCCCCCTATTTTTTGCCTCACCCAAAACTCAATTTGGCGCCAGTAAATTATGAAAATGCGTTTATCTTCTCCATTTTTCTTCATTCTACTCTTGGTGACAAAAACACACACGCAGAAATACGCAAAAGAAACACTCAAAGCTGGTTATGGCCTCCAATATTCAATTAGAGAGACCTCTCTCTCTCTCGCTTTTCCTTGATTTAATCATCGCGCCCTTTCCATTACAGAAAAGAAATTTTCTGGCATTCATTCTAATTCTTCCAGTCATTTTAAGAATTTTTATTTTAAAGAATTTTCTTTATTATTTAAATAAACCTACATTTTTTTAACTATTTTTTATTTTTTGTTTTAATTTTTCAAATAAAATGTTTCGATCCTTCTTTAAATAACCCTTCCTTTATTTATCTCTAATAATTAAATAAACATGCCTGTTGAATAGAGGGAATTGAAAGCATTCCAGCAGATCCAGGCATTAATGCCTGTAAAGTAGACAATGAAAAAGAAACTCCATCAATTTGGTGTTGATTTGTTTGTTGTTCTACCATTAATTGTTGCTGATTGGATGATTCTAAAGAGTCATCCTGATTTCCGTCGATTGAGCTTTTAATTTCTCCTTGATTTCCAGAAATTTCATTACTCATTTTTAAAATTAAAAGTTTAATTTAATTTGTTAGATTTTCTGAAAGAATATTAAATATATTTTGATTTTAACAATTTTTAAAATTAATTTTAAAATTAATATTATATTTGATCTGCTTCTTTTAAAAATCCGCAACTTTGCGCCAATTCTTTCAATCGGTTGGCATGCACAAAGCGCAGGTCCGTAAGCTTCTAGAAGTGGAAAATGAGTAAATTGAATTTATCTAGAAAGGCAGCCGGGACACAGAATTGAGCGTCAACGGCATTTTAACGAGAAAGGCGGGCGGTCGTAGAGGAGGAAAGACCGTATACTAACTCATTCAGTTTAAAGCAGGCTGGCATTGAAGCTAAAATTTCCAAGTTGGGGCTCTAACTAAATTACCACTTTTAAAGAGAAATAGGAAGGCAATGAAGGAAAAGAAAAGGGTTAGGCCAAATCCTCACCCAAATTTATATAAGCCATCTTAAACGAAGAGGTTTGTCTTGGCACATAACAAAATGAAGCTACATTGAGCAATCTCGTTAGTAAGCTTTTGGGTCTATGATAGAGGAAAAAAATAAAAAAAAAAAAGGAAAAAAGCTATGATGAGGGTTTAGGGGGGGGGGGAAGGCAAAAAAATATATTTAAGAGAATAAAGCAACCAATTGTATGTATATTTAATAGTAGACAAGAGGGAAAGGCACGGTGGCGGCTGTAAGATGCCGCCCACGCTTTATTTTAAATTGGCTAAAATTGAAATGTTTTTAATAAAAATATGTATTTTTAAGAAAAACATTTATTTATTTAAAAAAGATTCAGATTTTATTTGATAGAAGAGAAAAAGATACAAAAAAACAATGGAAATAAAAATTATTTAGTTTAAGACTTTCTCGTTTATTATAGGAGGAATGCCTTCGGCTTACTTTCCGTTGCGTAAATTTCCAAATTTACACAACTAGTGATTAAAGGATATAAAAATTTAGGAAAAAATCAGAAAATAAACTGGAATGTAAATTTTCCCCGTTATACAGTCTAGTGAGAGGTTGTGTTAATTTTTCAAATCTTTGCCCCCTAAATATTGAAGAGAGTTTTAGTTTTAGAATTAAATCCATCCTCAATGCTCGCAAATTAAATTAATTAATAATTATTTAATTTTTTAAAATCTCACTTTTTGGTCTGTTTAATACAAATTATAGTTACTGTTGAGGTCATAAATTAAAGTGTCATGAATCCATGAAAAAAGAATTATCAATTTTGGGTACAGATAAGATAAAACAAAAGCGGCAGCTAATTTGCCGCACTCTTCCAAATTTACGCAATTAGTCAATTTATTTTTTTTATCAAAAGTATAATTTTATCATTTTTTTATTTTCCAAAAAAAATCAAAATTAATTTCTAAGGCACTCTTTACCCATTTAGGTACAATGGAAACGGCTCTTATAATGACATCTGTGTCAAGTGTTAATCTCTTCCCACAACAAAATAAAAATACACTGAACAAAACATTCGAAATTCAACAATAAAAACTCGATACGAATCCATTGTAGCCTAAAAGGAGAAGTTTGTAATATGGGAAGGGACTGAAGAGAGCTTTCAGAGTTTTAAAATTTTGAAGGGGTTTTTCTAATTACCGTATTTTCTCGATTAATTCCCCTGGGGAATTAATTTTTCAACCTATCTCTAGCAGGGGGAATTAATCGAGGGAGGGGAATTATTCGAGGGAGGGGAATTATTGTTTCAACCCATTCCTGAATTTAAAAAAGTATGAAGTTTTGCATTCTGTTTTCTTAATTTATTTATCTACTATTTCATTATATTCCCCATCATGGATCCATATAACTTGCATGTGGTTACGAAGTTCTTTATGTACTCGAAAATGTGTGTATTAGGACTATAGTACCACATGAGGGGTCATTGTATGATACGATACTAAGGGATATATGTATATTATATCACCACGTATGGAACCATATAAACTTAACTGCTTTATATATTATTTTTTGTACTATCCCATTATTTTAATTAAATTTCGTCTCCTTCGAATATATCTTCTGATATCCCTTTAATCCTCTGATATTTCCTGATTACGTTTAAATCTATTGCTATCCTCTAATACTCCGTTATCCTTAAATCCTATACCTTGATATTCCAGCTGTTAAATACTACTACTTTGATCCATGTCTAATTTTTAGGAGAGGGAAAAAAGAAGAAGAAAAATAAAATTGTGTAATTCATTTGAAATGAGGGGAATTATTCGAGTTTTGAGGGAGGGGAATTATTCGAGGGAGGGGAATTATTGTTTCAACCTTTCTCTGGCAGGGGGAATTAATCGAGAGGGGGAATTATTCGAGGGAGGGGAATTAATCGAGAAAATACGGTAAATTAAATTTTTATTGTTAATAATTATAATTTTATTATTACTATTAACCTATCAATTTATGTTTTCTATTAAAAATATCATTTTTTATTTTCCAAAGAAAAAATCAAAATTAATTTCTAAATAGATATACTATGTATATTTATTATTTAATTATTAATTAAAGTAATTGAGATGTTCATATCCTGCTGTTTCTTTTCATTTTTCTTTGCCGCCAAATAAAATTCAAGATATATCTTCTCATCCACTTAACACAATATAATAAAAAAAATAAAAACTACATATACTTTAAAAACAAATAATTTAACGAATATGTAAAATTTATAAAAAAATTCTTTAAATATTACCATATATGCTCTAATAATTACCCCGGGTGATTATTGTTTTGCCCTCATGCTGGAGAACCCTCAAACACTAGATATTTCTTACTTTAATTAGTGTATTTTAAAATTTTTAATTTCTTTTTTGTCAGAATCAACAAATATAGTCGCGTTTTATATTCGAGTATTTTCACAATGCAAGAAAAATATTTTGTCCCAGCAATTTTAAATCAACTTTTGATTTTTCTTTAAGAAATTTGTTTTGAAAATATTTTTGATTTTCACATTGTGGTGGGGGACAGAGGATTTTTCAGTCTAAAACAATTGGAAGTCTTTTTTGCCTGTCTCATACATACAATAAATTTTCTAGCTGTCTTATGCATAAACTGAAAATATCCTAGATCTATTAACTCAATTTTATTTACACAGCTAACCTAAAATAATTTATATCAAAACAATAAGCAAATTTATTTTACAAATCTACAGAAAAAACAATATATATTTACAACATTGTGAAGGAAAACAATTCAATTGTAAAAATTCTAAGCAGAATTTTTAATAAAAGGGAGGGGAAAAACATTAAATTAAATAAATCCAAAAATTATTCAAATTAAATCTTTAAATCTCAATAAACTCAACAAACGACTTTAAGAAATTTATTTTCCAACAATAATTAAAATTAACAAAGCATTCTTTTTCCTTTAAACAAATTAAATCTATTTACGAAGGGGAGATAAACGACTTTGGGCCAAGAGAAACAAAACAAACTCAAAGGAAGAAAATCAAAAGAAGGGAATTATTCAAACTTATTTTTTCTGGGATAAACTTTCTGGGAGGAAAAACAGTTCAGAAAACCTTTAAACATTTCTGGGAGGGGGAAATATGTAGTTTAAAAACAAAACTGAGCAAAACTGCTCATAATTCCATTTATATATTCGGGGGTTGAGATGTGCAAAAAAAGGAGGCGTTTGCACATTTTAATCCAAAATTAGTTGGCCAAAAACAACCCGTGCAAAGGGTTGCAAAGATAGACGAAAGGGAAGAGAAAGGACATTTTTAAGGCCGGATCAAAATACACAAAAATACAAAGGAGCTTCTCCTAGTTAAATTGAGTGGGCCAGAGATTTAAACGAATGGGGAGAAAAGAGAGCAGGGACCAAACGTTTAATGTGCAAAATTCAAAAGAAAGGCCTTTGAGCCCGCCATAATTAACATTTTTTGAGCGGGCCTAAAAAAATAAAGACAAAAATATATGGACAAAATTTCGGGCAAGGTTAATAAAATATTTTCAAATCTAAAAGATTTGACATTCGGGAGAAACCAAAAAAAGTTTAGATGAAGGCATAGGGCAGTTTGAGGAATATGGGTTTATGTGAGTTGCAAGGAAGGGTGGGGGAGGTACGTTTTAAATTTAATAAATTTACGGCACTGGTCATTTTTTTTCATCCTTTTCCTTTATCTTCTTTCAAAACATTCATTTGGGTTTCCAACTTCATTCTTTAGGCCATAACATATTGTCGGAAGGAGCAACGGTGAGAAGAGAGTAAATTTTGGGAATTAGGTTTTTTTTTACATTCAAATCTATTATTACCGTTTTGGATACCACTTGTAGTTAGATGAGGAGGAACGGAAGTTTCAGTAAAATCCATAGCATATTGTATTAGACCATGTAGTCCAAAGCATATTGAGCCAGAGCAAAAGTTAATGGGATTTTTCAACAAAAGGAATATAAATGATTTAAAAAGATGGTACCGGTGGGAATTGGGCTTGTAGTTTATATTATCTAGCTCAATCTTGTTACAAAGAGGTGTTCCGAAGGTATGGAAATTTTTCCGGTGATATCCCGGAAGGAAAATTTGTACTTGGGTTATAGGAATAGGGTCAATCTCATTAAAATGGGCATCTCTGTTCGAGAGGGGGTAACGTTTAATTTCATTCTGTGGGGCAATTTTCAATTCTTTGAAAAATCGTTGCGGGATGGAAATACGGTGTCGGGAATTATCCTTAACTATTAACTCACGGGATTTCGACAAATTCTTTCGTTTTTTACGGGGCTTTCTTAGCAATTTCTTCACACAATTACTATTGTTGTTTATTATTTTCTTCTCTTTTAATATTTCTTCTGATGAGTTAATAAAGGTAGTTTCTGATGAATAAATAATTTGCGAATAGGTAGACATTTGTAGATTATTAAGATGACTAAGGGGTGGATTATGGGATAAATCTGGAACGGGGTCATCGGGAAAATCAAGGGAAACTTCTTCAGAGTGAATATCGGTTTTAACTTCATTAATTTCGTTTGTAATCTCTGGCAAGGGTGTAAATTCTTCACAAGTAAATTCTTTTAAATTATTAGGGGTATTTTTAATATTACAGATTTCTTCAAACGGAGAAAAGCCAGGAGGGGGGCTAATGGGTCTTTTATTAATACTTTCATTTGATGGTCTATTCAAAATTTGGGGAACGCAAACATTATCAAATTTATCCTTTTCATTTACAATCTGGGTATTTAACATAATTCCTTCAATATTCATATTGATATACTCTTTAGGATTCTTTCCATTATTTATTCCTTCGAGAAGGGGAAAGCCAGGAGGGATAGGAAGTGGTTCTAATTCATTCATTTCTTTAGTATAACTTTTAATGGAGGGGGTCGGATTATTAACTAATTGCTCATCAGACTGTTCTGTAATCGAGGGATTGGGATACAAACAAAAATTAGAGAAGGTCCGGTTTCGATAAGATTTATCATTAGACTGTGTATAAACTGATTTTAACGAGTCTTGAGTATTTTCATTAAAAGGTCTATTCTGGGAAGGGTTTAAAAGAGGAAGTTCAGGAAGGAGATGGGAATGGTCCAATGGGGGTTTAATTTTCGGTAAGTTACTTTCTAATTCATGTCGGGAATTCCTAAGCTTTCGTAGATACCGTTTAAGGTCGTACATAACTTTTATGTAATTTGTTTCTTGAAGGAATTTCTCTAGAATTTGGCTATCGGCGGCCCTTTCAGTTTCTGACATTGAAATTCTTAAATCTTGCCATGAATTATGGGCCATTTTAAAGTCATTTAGGATTTTGGTAATCTCTTGGGAGGTAAGTTCTATTTCATTAATTAAGGCCTGAGTAGATTCGAGAGATTGGGTTTTCAAATTATCATAATCTTCTATTAGAAAAGAGAAGGGGCTAGGAAGAAGTATTTCTTTAGTGAGGGAACAAAGCTGGGACAATTGATTTCTATAAGCTAGTGACATTCTCATTTAAAACAAATAAATAACTCGGAATTTTAAAATCAAACAAAATATAACCTTTTAATATTAACGGATAATAAAAATATCAAGGGAAAAAAATATATTCTAAAAAGGGTGGATTAGAAATAGGTCTCGGGTGGTCACCGGCTGAGCTGTAAAAATTCTAAGCAGAATTTTTAATAAAAGGGAGGGGAAAAACATTAAATTAAATAAATCCAAAAATTATTCAAATTAAATCTTTAAATCTCAATAAACTCAACAAACGACTTTAAGAAATTTATTTTCCAACAATAATTAAAATTAACAAAGCATTCTTTTTCCTTTAAACAAATTAAATCTATTTACGAAGGGGAGATAAACGACTTTGGGCCAAGAGAAACAAAACAAACTCAAAGGAAGAAAATCAAAAGAAGGGAATTATTCAAACTTATTTTTTCTGGGATAAACTTTCTGGGAGGAAAAACAGTTCAGAAAACCTTTAAACATTTCTGGGAGGGGGAAATATGTAGTTTAAAAACAAAACTGAGCAAAACTGCTCATAATTCCATTTATATATTCGGGGGTTGAGATGTGCAAAAAAAGGAGGCGTTTGCACATTTTAATCCAAAATTAGTTGGCCAAAAACAACCCGTGCAAAGGGTTGCAAAGATAGACGAAAGGGAAGAGAAAGGACATTTTTAAGGCCGGATCAAAATACACAAAAATACAAAGGAGCTTCTCCTAGTTAAATTGAGTGGGCCAGAGATTTAAACGAATGGGGAGAAAAGAGAGCAGGGACCAAACGTTTAATGTGCAAAATTCAAAAGAAAGGCCTTTGAGCCCGCCATAATTAACATTTTTTGAGCGGGCCTAAAAAAATAAAGACAAAAATATATGGACAAAATTTCGGGCAAGGTTAATAAAATATTTTCAAATCTAAAAGATTTGACACAATACATCTGAGAACATTATATATCACAATTATTTATGCTAATATCTTCCGTACATCAAGCATCTTTCTAGGCTTTGTTCCCTCCTTCTTGCCAATCTAGTGGATATGTCTGAAAAAATACAAGAAATTTAAAAGATTAAAAAACATTTCTCAACAAACCTGCACTTTCATCTTCTTTATTGCTGCAGCTATGAGTTCGGCAATATCATCGTACGGCGGGTCATCATAATAGCGGAGTGGCGCGACGAGTTCAAGAATGTTGGCGAACTGTTTAGGACATCCACCAAGCAGCAGACGACGTGGATCCTTCGGCTCCCTCTCAGCTTTCTTTGCACTTCCTTCCTTTCCCTCCTCTGCTTTCGCCTTCGGCTCCACTTTAGTCTTCGGCTCCGATTTGGGGTTGGCCTCTGTTTTGGTCTTAGTCTCCGTCTTAGGCTTCGCTTCCGATTTGGGCTTTGCCTCAGTCTTGGTCTTAGTCTCGATCTTGGGCTTTGATTCCACCTTGGGTTTCGCCTCCGATTTGGTCTTCGTCCCCGCTGCTGCCTCAGAAGTCGGCCCCTTTCCTTTGACGTCCACCTTCCCAGGTCTTAAGGCTTCGATCTTCATGTCACGTATTTTAGCTTCTTCCTAAAAAATCAAACATTTAATTAGCCAACAAACCACCAAAAAATTAATAAACTTACATCGACACGCTGCCAAGGCAACTTCCCTTTCACAAGCTCACATGCCATGTAGAACCAACTTTCGACGTCGTCCCCTCGGCAGAGCTCCTTATGTTTGTGACCAATCCTTGAAGCATATTTGGCTGTCCCTCGGAAACCGATATTGCCTGCGCGTGGACGCTTAAGTACGCCGTCTGGCCGTACAAAACATCGTGCCATGCCAAAGTCGAGGATGTAGATGACATTCTTGTCCGTGTGTCCAATCGAGAAGTTTGCTGGCTTGATCTAATAGAAAAAAAGAAAATTAAAGTTCAATTTTCGCTTTTGTTAAATGAAAACTCACATCTCTGTGAAGAAATCCGACGAGGTGCATCTGTACAATCGCCGCCAAAGTCTTCTTTGCCGCAATCAGAGCCGTGCCCATGGAAAACCTGTTGTTGGGACGCTTACGTCGAAGATCCTTAAAAATAATTTATTTGCAAAGTTAGACCAAACTTATAAATAAATCAATCACCTCAAGTGATGGGCCGACCAATGACATGACCAAGTAGTTGCACTGATTGTTCCAGGCTCCCTTGTCAATCAGCAACGGGTACCGGCGTTTTCCTTCAACTGCCTTTGCCATCAGCGCCTGGTATACTTGCACTTCGACGGCCAACATCTGCACTTGAGCTGAGAGGCGCTCTGCCTAAATAGTAAAAATGTCCAAAATTTAAAACTTTCTAACAACATACCTTCAAGGCATACTTTTCCTCCTTCTTGGCACCCTCCTCCTCCACCAGATAGACAGCACCAAACGCGCCAGATCCTAACCTGCTGAGAACGTGCCATTTCCTGTGTCCTTCGCTGCCGACCACAGTCCCGATATTCAGAGCGATTGCCTCCATCGGTTCAAGCCGCGAGATCATCTCCGTGTTCGTGTTAGCGTCCTCCTGTTGTTGCTGCGGGGTCGGTTTAGTATATGCCCACCGAGATCGAAAATCGTTATATATACCATTCGATTCCTCTCACCGAGCTGAGTTCAAATATGCAAGAATTTTCTGCCGGAGACGAAAACTCGCAGAGATACAGGCCCCCGAAAATCGAAAAACCATAGGGGGGACCAAGCACTTTTTTTGGGGTGAAAAATTCGAATATGCAAATTATAACTCATTCGAAAGAGCTCGTCGAGCTGAGTCGAATGACACCAAAATCAACAAAATCCGACTCGATTGGACCGAGATATAGACCTCTAAAAATCGAAGATCCAAAGGGGCGATTTTTGGAATAAAAAATTTTTTATACAAATAATACCTCATTCGAAAGAGCTCGACGAGCTGAGTCGAATGACACCAAAATCATTGTGATTGGACAAGATTAGACAAAGTTATGACACCAAAAAACAAAAACCTAAACCTATGGAGCGTCGGCGAGGCGCTTGTGCAAAACCCCGCGCTTCGCGCGGGGTTTTGCGGCACGCGCCTCGCGGGGAGTCTACGGGCGCTGGGTCTGGGCTCGTAACATAAACCTATTCCTATCTCCCTTGCTCTGGACGTATTTGGGGCCTCCGTAGCAGCAAAAATCTCCACAGATGCCATAGGTAAGGAGCTAAAATAAAAGATCACAACTTTGTCCAATCAAGTCGGATTTTGTTGATTTTGGTGTCATTCGACTCAGCTCGAGGAGCTCTTTCGAATGAGCTGTCATTTGCATATTCGAATTTTTCACCCCAAAAAAGTGCTTGGTCCCCCCTATGGTTTTTCGATTTTCGGGGGCCTGTATCTCTGCGAGTTTTCGTCTCCGGCAGAAAATTCTTGCATATTTGAACTCAGCTCGGCGAGACGAATCGAATGGTATATAACTTGAGTTTCGATCTCGGTGGGCATATACTAAACTACAGCCGTTGCTGCTCCCTTCCTTGGACTGCCTGCTCGCACTTACCACCATCCCCCTTGATCACGCTTCGCTCTCCGCCGCCTATCTTGCCGTCATCATCCTTCTTGCCGTCCACCATCGTTGTTAATTGGAGTTGAGTATCGTGCTGTCAAGTGAAGCTGTTGTCGGTAAGACAGAAGTAAATTCCTGTGCTTTTATACTAGGAGAATTATTAAAAATCTCCTCATCTCATTGGAGCAAATTACTATTGCAAATTATTGCAAGGTCTAATTTTTACTTTAATCAAAATTTAAAATTGAAAAATGTACATAAATAAACAATACAAAATTCATTTTTTATTCACCACAAAAAGAGACAAAAATAAAAATAATTTTTATAGAAATATTTAAATAAATCAGGGACTTTTTGTTTTTTTAAGAAATGAGAAATTATTTAATAATATTTTTATGGCTATATTCTCTTCTCCTTCTTTATCAAATTAAAAAAATATTTTCTTACATTCTCAATTTAAACGGATTTATTTAAAATATTCTCATTTATAATTAACGTCCAAAACGTAAAGGTCTTGGTCCAAGACTGCCTCTTTTCATTATTATGGCTCTTAAAATTAAAATTTATTTTATTAAATTTATTCCAAATATATTTTCTTTTTTCAATTTTTACTCGATATCCATAAATAGCCCGCTATTAATTTCTGGTTAAAATCCACAACCGAAAAAAATCCCAAACAACCACACCAGAGCTGGGCTCCACAATTTTCGCGTGAAGTGCCAAAATCGTTAAACTCTAAGTCAATACCACGTCCATATTTAGGCATATTTACCTTTGATATCTATTTGGAATAATCATTCCAACAAGCAAAGCTTCTTCTAATTTATCTTTTTCCAATTCACAAGGGAACATATGTTACTGTGAGTACGAATTTGATAAATTTTTTGGTACCATGCGAAAGAGGACCCTCGATTTACTCTTGTAGTTTGCGGGTTTTCTTGCAAAATTAGTTTGGGCCGAGTTATGGCCGTTCAAAGTTTCAGTCCTTGGGATTGATTGAGTATAAGCAAGAGGGAAAATAAGCGCGCTATAACTTTTTTTTCACTTCTCTGCGTTCTTCACATTATTTTATAAAGAGGAAAAAAGAATGCAAGAGTAGCGAGGAAAAAAGAAGGGAGAAAATGTCAGACACAATAATCAAAGAGAAGGGGCGTGGCTTGTTCTTTGAGGATGAAAAATAAGAGAGAAGAGAGAAAATGAGCGAACTATGTCCTTTTTTCACTCTCTCTTCTTTCTTTATATTGATTTACAACAATGAGAGAGAACGCAAGAGACGCGAAGGAAAAAAAAGGGAGGAAAAATGTTAGACACTAAATAAAGAGAAGATGGGTGTGTCCGTTTTTTGAGTATGAAAAATAAGAGAGAAATTGTTTTCTTACCCTATAACTCCTGACTCTAGCGGTCTAACTTTGAACGGCCATAACTCGGCCCAAACTAATTTTGCAAGAAAACCCGCACAAAACAATAGTAAATCGAGGGTCCTCTATCGAATGGTACCAGAAAATTTATTAAATTTGTACTCACAGTAACATATGTTCCCTTGTCAGCATTATTTTCTTCGTCCAAAATATTTTGAATAATTTGTTCTTCATCTTCTTTTATTATTTGAGATAATTGTAAACTGTCAAATTGTGAAAAAGGTTTTGAAATTCTTTGGGATATTTTTGCTTCTAAAAAGAAATATTTATTTTTTTTTAAATAATTAAATTAAAAATAACTTGCCTGTTTTTCTTAAATTAATTAAAATAATTAAAGAAAATAAAAAAATTAAATTTAAAATTGGACTAGAAAATGAAGAATTTATTTTGTTGTTTCTTTTCATTATTTTTTTCTTAAATTTTTGTTTCTAAAATAAAATTAAAATAAAGAATTTATTGGAATATTTAAACTTTTCAATAAATAAATATTTAAATATTTTTAGTTCTTTCCCATCCATTTTTGGAAAAAATTGAAAAAATATTGAGAACAATAAAAACTTTATATAATTTACATTAAAAATACATTTTTGTATTTAATTAAAAAATAACTTTAAATGGGAAAATTAGCATATGTGAAAATTGCAGAAAATATATTTATATGGATAAACGTCAGCAAAAAACAAAAACTATTTTCTAATAAAAAATTCTTTATTTGGTAAAATTTGGATATAAATTTGTAATTTGGGAAGGATAGAAAAAATGTTTCTCTAAATTTCTATTTTGGAGAAACAAAAAAATTATTTCTCCAAAAAAATTAATTTTTTAATTAAAATAATATGTATAAACCCTTCAACATCCAATTTTTTTGATAATAATTTTTAGAAAATTTTTTTAATTCAAAAAAACTAATATAATAGTATGCAAAGAGTACTTTGTAGACATGTTTAAATATTAAATGAATTGGGTGGCCAAATTGAAGAATAAATGACAGTTGAAAACTATTAAAAAAGTAAAAAAGAAAAAATGGACAAGTTAAAATAAACTTGGCCACACAGATATTTTTAAATATAGGAAATATGGAAATATTTTCATTAATTCAAAAAAACTGTTTACTATAAATAAATAATTTTATAATCTTTAGAGGATTATATTTGAAAAAAATAACAAGAAAAAGTAGAAATATTTAAGTTCTTTTTTTTAAATAAAACTTCCATTTTATTAAAACTTTATAAGAAAATAATTAATTTATAAATAATTTTTTGGGCTAATTTCTGGAAAGTTAAAATCTTTTTATTTATCTTTTATTTTAAATTAATTTAAAAAATGTTTTAAATAAAATAATAAATTTAAAAAATGTTTATAAAAATAAAAGAAAATGATTGAGAGGGTGATAAAAAGAATTAGCAAAATTATTATATTTGGAATATATTAATGATGTCTGATTTTAATATAAAAATTTAATGAATGGCATTTGAATGAAAATAAAAGAGATGGATTACCTTTTTAGTCTAAGCAATTCATTCAATTTTTTTTCTAAAAATTAAAAATATATAAAGCTAAAAAACAAAAGGATACCAAATTACTATGGAAAGATAAATTAGCTACTGAAAATTTTTGATAAATTAATATTATATATTTGTATATGACGATAACGCGCAACATGTCATTTAAAAAAGGAAGGAAGATAAAATAAAATAATAAATAGCTAATTGTAAAAAAAGAGAGATTAATGAGGATAAATTAAATAATTATACTTTTCAAAGAATTTGAAGACATTAAGTTTTAAATTCAATATTTTCTTTAAAAAATTATATAGTAATTTTAAGTTATTTTAAAATATTTATATATATAATTAAATTTTGAATTTGGTTTATTTCTTTATTTAATAAATTTAATAAAAATTCTAATTAATTTATAGTATTTACATCAACTACACATTCAAACACTTGTGGCTGAAAATTGTGCTTTAAGTATTTTTAATGGAAGTATTACCCCCTTCCCCTCCCCCCAATCCAATAGCCAACAAAATTTTAAAAATTGTACCTTGTAGTCAAATGTAGCTAAATATTTGTAAGTTTACAAATTAAATTTTAGGCACATTTATTAATAAATATTTGTTTTGGTTTGGAGTTTGTTAACGTTTTCATTTTTAGATTATGTAAAAATTTGTTAGAAATTTGTGGGTGTGTGAATATTTTATAAAGGTAAAATTCTTTTTTAAGTTTTTTGGTGAGAATAATTTTTGAAAATAATTTTTGAGAAAATTGGGGAAAATGTTTGCATTAAATTTTTTATTTAAATTTTATTTTTGAAATTAAAGGAAAACAAATTTAAAAATGAAAATATTTTTAATAAAAACGAGTTAATAATAATTAAAGATAAAAGAACCACAAAAGCATAAATTAAAAAATAATTTTTGTATAAAAGAATTTTTGTTGAGGAGGAAATAAAATAAAAGTAAGTTTTGTTTATTTATAAATAGGTACACTTTTTTGTAAATGAAAAAACTAAATTTTAAATTCCGGGGATGAAAATAAATATTATTTAAAATTTAATACCTAAATTATACTTAATTATTAATTTATATGTCTCAACAATAAATTTTAAGAAAAAATTAGTTTAAGGAAAGACTTGAAAGGTCAGATAACAAAATTTTTAAATAATTTTTTGTCACAAGATATTTCCTTTAATTTGTGTTTATTTTTAAGTAAATTTGTATATTTATTAATTTAATTTAAGAACAAAAAGCATCTCCAATAAATAAAAGGAAAAGTCCCAAAGAACAAATAGCCAACAAACAATTAATTGCCAAACGAATAATTATTTTCTCTTGAAATACCTTAAATATTCTTTTAGAATTTATTAAAATATTTTTACAAAAAAAGCTAAAATATTCCAAACATTTAAAAACTTTTTTTTTTCAAAGAAATAAATTACAAAAATTATTGTAGAAAATATTTATTTATTTAAGAAGCACCTGTTCTCCATTCCAATCTAAATAAGGAAAAGAAAAGTCTAATACTCTCTCACAATTTGCATATAACCATTCAGGGTAATTACAAAATCTTTTAAAAAATATTAAAATGAAATTAAAAAGAATTCTTTAAACCGAAGAAATCCAAGTTCTGTAGCTGGTTTTCTTTTAATATAATTAAGTACAGGCTTTTCTTGAGGGAGAAAAGGAGGTCCACGTAGCTCCTCTGAGGTTGGATTATATCCCCAACAAAGGAGGGAGAATGTTGCTAAAGATGTTAATAAAGTGCCGAAGGCGGCGCCAACTAAATAGTTATTGAAAAGAAGAAATTAAATTAATTAATTTACTCTTCTAAAGTTTTTACCAATTGCAAAAAATTGTCTAAGTGGATGGCCAACAGGAGGAAGTGGAAGTAAAGCAAAAAGAAGTGAATATATTCCTATAATAGGTAGAAGATATAGAAAGAAGAGAGGGCAACAATAGCTTGTATGTATAGGCCAAAGAAGTATAAGTCCAAAACCTGTTTTTAATTTTTTATTTTGATATTTTCTAAATAAATATTCACTATTAATTTGGGTAGTTAATCTTTTAATTAATTACAGTTTGAACGAGTGAATTTGGATTTATTTAGTCAAGAAAAATAGAGGAAAAGGATTATCTAAAATGTCAAATCAGAGCAAAAGCATAAGGAAAATGAAAAGAAATCAAAAAATGGAGGAACATGTATATTAATTTATAGGAGATCTAAGATGTATTAACCAAAAAATAAATTCATATGTGCTGTAGTTAATCGAAAATTATTAGCTCTAGCAGAATAGCCAAATAAAACAATTCCAGCACAAAATTGTGAAACTGCACAAATAGCTATTAATGTTGCTATAATTAATTTAACAGCAATTAATGTTTGTTGTAATTGTAAAGATTGTATAGAAGAAGATTGTGTAGATGGATGGGAGGAGAAGAGTTGAGCACCCCCAGTTGAACTTTTTTCAAGTAAATAAGATTGGAAACGTCCAAGTACACGTTCACATTGTAACTAAAATAAAATATTTAATTATTTTTTAAATTTATTAAAAACTTGTTTTGTGGCTGTTCGATTTAATAAACCGGCACAAAAACTTGTTTGGCCTTCCTTCATTTGAACTATAAAATTAATTTTTAATTATTTATTTATTCTCAATATTAACCCCTTCTTAAACAAATTGCTTCTGTTGTTGAGGTTAAAGAAAGAAAAAATGCAAAAATCATAGAAACAAATTGTAATAATAATTCACATCTTTAAATTTAAAATTTAGTTATTTTTAAAAAATAACTGGTGTATCTTCGACACTCTTGTATTAGAAAAATGAAAAACAAATAGACCCCTTCTTTAAAAAATCATCAACAAGCGTGATTTAATGAATTTGACAAGTTATGAACTTTAACTTGTCAAGGAAGGATATAGATGACCTCCCGGACGAGGAATACTCTCCTTCTGCACAATATTCCTCCATTTACGCTTTGTTTCAGCTCGAGGGCATGCATTGTTCTAATACATACATTACTACTCTAATTAGTTAAAGAACACTAAATGCCGACAATACATAAACATAAAAAGAACTTGTTTGGATAGTCCAGTAAAAGCGCATAAACTGAAGTAATCCCTGCAGAAATACCTGACCAAAAAACTAAATAAAAATGAGCATATGGAAGGCAAAAAAAGACATGGGCAAGTCCAATAGCAAATTCGAGCTTTATTTTTATTAAAATTTAGTTTAATAAATTTTTTGAAAATTTACGAAAGCAAGTAAGCCAAGTAGGGGATAAAGAGTCCAAATAATTCCAATAACTCGCATATTCTTTAATTATTTTAATAATTTTATTTGTTAAATTAAATAAATTTATTTAGGAATAAATGCTTAAATTTTAAAATAAATTTTTATACATTAAATATTTTTGTGTTTTTAAAAGTGAATTCAACAGATTTTGTTATTTTCTTTTTTTTAACTTCCATTTTCAATTCTAAATCTGTTTTTCCCAAAGGAATTTAATTTAATTTTTAAATTTTTTCTCCATAAAATTGTTAACTTTAATATCAAAATTTTTTGTCTTATATTTGTCTTTGTGATAATTAGAAATAACTGTAAAAGCTTATGAGAGAAATAGAAAAATTTTCATTAGAGTTATTTAAAATTCGAGATGCGTTTTTTCGGTTATATGTGAGTGAATAAGAGAAATTTTGGCTCTATTACACAATATACGTCCAATCAACTAATCTGTTTTTCCCAAAGGAATTTAATTTGTATTTACTATTTTGTTTATTTTTTTATTATTAAATGTTTCAATTTAAAATTTTTTATTTTATAAAGTTAAACTACCTAAAATTTACAATTAGGTATAATAATATTAGCTTCTCTTTATGTAATTCCTCTCTAAAAATTATAGCTTTGTTGTAGTTGATTTTAGAATTGGAACTCTTACTCACTTTTTGAATCCCAAATCCCAACACAATTTGGAAGGGTTTTTAGATATTTAAATTTGAATTTAACTTCCAAAAATTTACTATAAAAACCATTAAGGACATAGTTAATAACTAACGATATTCTACAAATCCATCTTTCTTCCATTTGATCGCAGTAATAGCCGGATGATGCATAACGGTTAGTATATATATTTAATTATAATTTAATTATTTTTTTAATTTTTAAGTTCTAACGTCGTTGCTTTTTTTGTTTGCCGCCATATTTGGAACGTTCATCTTATTGGCACAATGCGCTAAGAAGAGTGATGCAAAGGCCAACAAGAAAGATAAAAAGGGGAAGAAGAATCCCAAGACGGTAGACGGAAAGAAGCAAAAGAAGGATACGAAGGATACGAAAGCAGCTAAGGACAACACAAAATTACTAAACAAATCCCCCTCCAAAGGAAATCCAAAATCGGCAGGGAAAACAAAATCTGGAAAGTTTGGACCAAAAACGATAACTGTGGTCACTGCAGAGGAATATGCGAAGGATGAACTCACTGAACTGTTGGCAAGAGCAGTTAAACCTGACCCTGAAACAATGAATCAGTTGAAAAAGATGAAGATTGACAACAAGAGAAAGCCCGTCATGATTCCACCCAAACAGCAAGGAGGTACTGCTACAGTGATTTTGATGCCACCACGGGACATGCAATCAACTTTGCTGGTAACTGCAATGCCTGATCCTGCTCCAAATAAAAAGAAAGATGAACCAAAAGGTAATTTTTAAAGGAAAATAAATTTAAAATAATTTTGAAATTAATTTTCAGTGGATGAAGAATTTTCTGTTGAGGTATCGAAGAGAAAGGATATGGACGAGGGAGACAGCAAGAAAGGGGAGGGAATGAGTATTTCTTTGGAATAATGACTGGTATTGAAGAATATATAGGAGAGAATTGTTAATGAAAATAAATGTTTGGATTGAAAATTTAAAAAATGTAAATAAATAAAATTGTATGTTAGTTTATTGTTTCTTTTGTTATTTTCTTAAATAAAAATGTAGGTAGTAAATGTGTTGCTTCATTTTTTATTAAAATTTCAATAAATTTGTACAAAATTATTTTTAAATAAAAAATGAAAGAAAATATGGGATTTTAAAATAAAATTTTTGAGAGAAAAAATTAGAGCTTTTCCTAAAATAATTTTGTCAAATTCTCAATCATTCAATTAATTATTAGAAGGCAATAATTTAAAAGCATCAAACCAATTGCCTTTGAGCAATTTAAAAGTAGAATTATAACGTTGAATTGTTATTAACAAAGTTGTTTGATCATCATCAACAAAATGTTGATCGAGTAATTCCAAAAAAGTTTTCATAAAAAATGTCCAAAAACGCCTAATTACTTTTTCTCCCCCAGCCAAAAAGCCCCCACTAATTACTGAACGATGCTTTCGATAAACCTTTAAAAAAAGAGCTTTCTTTTAAATTTAAATTTTAAAGAAATAACCCTTTCAATTGTGTAACGTTCTACACGTTCTCCATGAGTAGGAAGTTGAATAAGAGTAATTTGTTCATAATTAATTTGAGTAGGTTTCCATATTCCTAAAAATTTTAAGAAATAAAATTTAATTCGGGGGTTTCTTTCAAATTAAAAAATTTATTTTTTTCTTTGACAATTTTTTTGTTAAAATATAAAATCCTTAATTTTTTAATTCAACAATTAATTTAATTAAAATAATTTTTTAATCCTTCCAATAATTCCAATTGGAAACCTAAAGGTATTGCTGATTGAGATCCATGCCCATACCCAGCATCTAACCAAACAAATAATTGTTCTTCTTCAAAAGGTTTAGGAAATTGAGATATTTGTGTAGCATTATAAAGAAAATAAGGCTAAAAGAAATATTTTTTTAAACAAAAAATATTTGGGGGAATACTTTAGAATTAACAAGAATATCATAATCGGGATATAAAGTCTCTGGATGTGTTTTCATTTGTTCATCCCATTCTTCCCTCCAATTTTTCTGTTCCCAATTCATTATTTCTTCAATTTCTTTTCGATATTTGTAAAAAGGTAATTCAGATAAGGATATTTGGATTATCTTTTTTTAAATTAGAATTTAATTAATTTATTTATTTAGTGCCTGTATTCTTTCCAATTTAATTTGTTCATTCAAAACTTTTAAATATTCATAAACAGAATTGTCACAATAAATAATTATATTATTCTGCATTCTAAACAGAATATTTGTTAAATAATTTAAATATTGATCAAAATGCCGAGTAAATCTGTTTTTAAAAATTAAATTTAAAAAACTTTCTTCAAATAATACCTTTGCCAATTACCCCGGCCAATATCAATTAAAGCTGTGACGAGAATTGGGGCCTTAAACACTTTTAATAAAATTTATAGAAAATAATTACTTACCTCTCTTCGCTTTCTTCTCAACAAATTCTTTTCTTCATTATTTTCTACAAAAATATTTTTTAAATAAAAATTATTAATTTACCCTTTTCAATATGAGATGATGGTTTAACATTTGCTTGTAATGAAAATTTAATTGAAAGTGGTGGGGGAGGAGGGGGAGGGGGTAAATTATTTAAATTTTCCCCTGGTGGGGGTCTTTTCCAAATAGGAATTTCTGATATTGGAGGAGGTAAAGGTTCGAAAGGTATTTCTACTGGTTGAATTTCTTCTTCTTCTTCGTATAATGAAGAAAAATATTGTCGATTATTATTGTTGTCAAAAGGGCGTTTTAAATTATTTATTTCTCCACTTCTTTCAACACTACTAATTATTTCATTTAATTCTTCTTGCAAACTAAAATCATTAGTAATTGTTTGTTGGGTAGTTGTGAGGTATATTTGTTGGTTTTTATTATTTTTATTTTCTTCTGTTAAATAAATATTTACTATATCAAAAAAATTTCCATTTACCTTTCTTCACAATTTGTTCACTTTCAGCCTTTACGGGTGCAAAATTAATTGTAGGCCTTTTTTGATTATAATTATCATTTGCAGATTTTATTGCCATATCTTCATATTTTTTTGATTTTTTTTGATTTCTTAACCATAAAAGGTCTTCATCTTCCTCATCTTCTAATGTTTTTTCCTCTTCTTCAATTATTTTATTTGTTTTATTTTCTTAAATAAATATTTAAATATTTATTATATTAATACTCTGAAATATATATTAAGATAAGCTTTATTAAAATGACACTCTTTAATAGAATAACACAGAAATTTATACAGAAAATATGTTTTTTGGCACGTTTCACAATTTTTACAAGTTCAGAAAAAATACATTGGAAAAATATACCCAGTAAAATTTCATTATAATAAAGGTATTGATATATGTATGTAGAAAATTGTATTTAATAAAATATTATAATTTAAAACGCCCAATAAACTTATTTTTAAAAAAAGCAGATATTCTCTTAAAATATTAACTACCTATTTTTGTTATAGAATTTTCTTTTGAAGGTAAATAATAATTATTTAATAGCTTATTATTATTTGATTTTATTGTTGTTTTATAATTATTTGTTTGGATTAAATTTGTTGTTGTTATTAAAGTAGTAGATGTTGTTGTTGTTGGTGTTGTTGATGTTTTTATTCTTTCAGTTGTTGTTGTTGATATTGTTCCTAATTTATTTCCATTTTCTAAAACAGCTTTAATCGTTTCATTTGGGACATTTTGGGAATTCTCAAAGCGATCAACTTCAACAAAAGATTTTGTGGAAATATTTACTTTAAAATTAATTAATTTATTTATTCTATAAAATTTACTTGGAGAATTTATTTTATTTTTGTTAATAATATTATCGTGAATTTGTATAATTTTAGGAGAATTATCTAAAATCTTTTTTTCATTCAAATTTGTATTTAATAACATAATTGAAAATTTAAGTTCTTGTGGACGAGGAGTCTGAAATGTTGTTGAATATATTTTGTTGTTTATTGTTGTTGAGATTTTTGGAGAAGATGAAGAAATAAAATAATTATTAGTTGAAGAAGGTAAAAAGGAATTAATTGCTGTTGATTTTAAAGTTGTTGTTTGAATTAAAGAAGTGTTATCAAAAATATTTATTGTTGTTGGTGGTGATAATGGAAGTATAGAAGATATTGAAGAATTATTTTTCTGGGATTGGGTTAACTAAAATAATTTTTTAAAATTTAAATTAAAAAATTGGAATCCAGAAATTTATTAATAAACTCAAAAATTTAAAAGAATTTTATCAGAATTTGTTCCAATAAAACTCGATTTATTTATTAAAACTATTTAATCAAAATTTTTATTTAAATTTTTCCCTTACTTTAAAAGATTCATCATTATGCCAAAATATAAACACCCAAAGTAAAAGTAAAAAACAACTCCCAACTGCAACAAGACTTGCCAAAGTACCAATACGTAACAATATTCTTTTCCGACGTTTACCTCTTTCATTTTTGACTGAATAATTTATATTATCATCTGTCAAAATTTTAATTAAATTTTAGAGCCCCTTTTTTTATTAAACCTCCAATAGCAATGCTGTTCGGCCTCCAAAGTCTTTGCATTGCAGCATCCTCAGAAGAATATTTCCTTTGACAGCCGTTCTCATCCAAAAGAAACAGCCGTGTCTTCTTTTGTCTACTATTATTTCCTCTTCCGACCACCCATAATCGTTTCCCCAAACTTTTTTGTTTGCTCTTTTGAAGTGTAGAGGAAGAAGAGGAGGAATTGCTTGTTAAAGGTGTTGATGTTGGTGTTGTTGAAAATAATGAAGTTGTTGTTTCTGATTGAGTTGTTATTACTGGACTCATTTAATGTCCAACAACTGAACATTAGAAAATAAAAAAGAAAATGTAATTAACTGAAATTTTTTTTCATAAAAAACAATCCCTTTTGTAAACAATTGTAAAAACAGAGAAATGTTTGTTGAGGGGGGGGGGGTTTAATTATGAAATAATTTAAAATTCTGGAAGCATCCAAATATTTTCTTTAAAAATTACGTGTTAATAATAAAAAAAATTTACAAGAATAATTTAATAAAATTTATGTATTTGTTAATTAATTAGATACAAATATTTCCCTTTTCAAATTAAAATAGCTTTAAATTTTGAGTTTTCTAGACAGATTTTATTTTATTAAACTGGTGAGATTGGATTACTTCCCCTTCTTTTCTTTTACTAAATAAAAGAAGGAATTTAAAGCTTTAAATTAAAACAAATAGTTTTTTTCACTATTTTCATTAAATTGATAATCTTTAAAAGTTAAAAAAGGATAAATATGTGCATATATACTACCTAATTATTTATTTATCCTTCCTCTCTTTAATTAATTTCGTAAAAAATAACTGCTGCTACCTTCTATTAATCGTTCATCTTTTTATTTATTTATTTAGGGACACCTTGCAAGTCCTCCCTTTTAAAGACTTGTTGACAGTTTATTTCAACTAAAAAATAAATAAAAATAGGAGAATGTACTTAATTGTGCACTAATTGATTCGAAAAATTGTTGGAACGTTAAATTAGTGAAGAAAAGGGGAAATAAATAAATAAAATTAATAAAATGACTTTAAAATAAATTGGATTTTAAATAGAAAAAAAATAAAAATATGTCTGTCAGACATTGAAGAATTGCAAAATAATTATTACAAAAGAAAATTGAAATTCTTTTATCAGGCGGGGAAAAGCTTTGATTATTCTCTTTTTATTTAGAAAATTGTTTAAAAGAATTTATAAAAAAATTCCATAGGAAAAAAGGTTTGTAGATGACAGAAATTCTTTAAATAAATAAAAAATGAATAATTCATTGGAATGAAAAAATTAAAGAAAAAATAAGATTAAATAATTCTTTTTATTAAATAAAAAAAACAATTTAAAAGCGGAAGAAGAAGACAGCTAAAAGTGGGGGATCGAAGGTTGGTTGGAAGGTTCAGGACAAAATCATTTGTATACAAAATTATTTGCTATTAAATGCACAGATGTTCTCTCCCTCCCCTCTCTCCTCTCTTTTTATTTCATTTTAATTCTCTCACCTTCCCCCCCCCCCTTCAAAAGATAAAAAAAAAATAGATTACTAATATATATCTGTTAACATTTATCATTATTATTGCAGTATATATTGGCCAAAATATTTATATCTTTCTTCCAATAATATATAGATTATTTTAATAACAATGCGCATATACATAAGAAGCAAAATGAGAAAAAGAAAAAATAAATAATTAAATAATAATTAAATAAATAATTTTTAAATTTATTTTGTATTAAGCCTTAATTTTCAAAAATTAATATAATTTTAACAAGAATATTTTTATTAAAAGTATTTTTTGTTGTGCAGGTATGTGCTAGTCATCTAAAATTTCTTTTTTGATGGAATTTTGGTCCACGCAGGACAATTTTGCTACTTTGAAAGGAAATTTGATTCTCAAAAATTTTGGTTATTTTTAATAGTATGTGGGAAATGGACATGCAAAAAACAAACATTTGCATCTCGTCATTAAATTTTGTAAATATGCACATATAAATAAAGGCTGAAATTAAATAAAAATTTTTTCTCGGTATTTTTCAGTCAAGTTTTAAAATCTACCTGCTTCCTTTCTTCTTTATTTATGTTGCGCAATTTAAAGTGTTTTAAATTTAAAATATTAACTCGTAAAAAACGTGAATAAAAAAGTAAAGAGGTTACACGGACAAAAACGAGCTAATGTTTAAGTATTGAAGGGAAAGTTCGAGAAAAGATTAGGTAACTAAAATAAAAGAGAACAATTAACAAAAAAACGATTTTTTCTAAGCAGAGTCACTTAAGTAATTTTTTCAATAGAGTCAAAAATTCCTATTACCTTCATGTTTTCTTAAAATCAATGACTCAAATATACTTTAAGCTTTTAAATCATCGTAAAGTACTTCCGCGCAGTGGACTTGTGTACTAACTGTTTTTCCTAAAAATTAAACAATAAATAAGCGACAGCGTTTACAAATACACAAAAAAACATTTATTGTTGCTATACATACTTAAGAAAAAGGTTTCTTGTAATTTTCAATGTTTCAGTTAGTTACTAAAATAAATTACTAAAAAATAAGTGGGTTAAATTTAAAATAAATTTTTGAATAAATAATAAATAGTTTTGTGATTAAAGAAAAATTTTCAAAAAATAATTGGAAGAATCGGAACTAAAGAACATTTCTACATATTTCTTAAAAGTATATGTATTTTTGAAGACAATCTTAATATCTGCATAAAATATCTGTTCATTTTTGTTATTTAAAACATCAATATTTGTAAAATTCAAGGGTGGAAGAATTTTTACTTCCGAATGCTTTTTAAAATAAGAGTGGGAAAAAGTCAGAATAATTTATAGTTTAAAAGATTTACGCATATGTACATTAGCCAATGATTTAGAATTAAAGATTAAAAATTAAAATTTAGTGTTAGAAGCTAGTTAAAAGCTAGATTTATGTCTAATCTAGCTCTAATGACATTTTTGGGTTTCTTATTTCAAGACATATTCAATACATATGTTTAGCCCAACCCTAGTTATTGTGGATCCAGGTTTTTTGTTTTTTAGTGGTTAAAGTACATATTTTATACTTTTCGATAAAGGAAAAATTATACCTATTTTGAATTTAGGTAAAATCTGTCTAAATATTTAAGAGTAGTACGGTAATTTGTGATGAAATGGAATTTTGATGGTCAGTTAAACGCCAGAAAATTTTCGTCGGCATAACTTTTTTAACTTTGATTAAATCTTAAACTTTAATTTTTCTAATTATTTTTCTTTTAAGTTATTTAAATCTGATGGGTATTGAGCATAGTGTAGTTCGGGAAAGGCGGCCACGCTCCAAAAATGAGGAGAATGATGTGTTGATTATTCAAAGGTCTGATTTGGATTTGCCTGAGGCTTACAGAACTGTTGAATTGTCTGAACAGGTTTTGAAGCGGATTAACGGGGAGAAAGACGAAAAATTTGAGGATTTCAAGTTTGGTTTAAATAATTAAATTTTTCAATTAATTTTTAGACAAAAATTTGCCAAATTGGAGGAAGAAAATTCAAAACTTTTACAAAAATTGAAGGAAAAAGAAGAAAATAAACAAAAATTTGGTGATTCTTCTATTAAAATTCCTTCTTCAATTTTAAATAAAGAAAATCAACTTTCTTTGTCTACTGAAGAAATAATTGATAAAAATCAAAAAAAATTTGATGAAATGGCAACGAGAGTAGAGAAGGTTTTTTTGAGTAAACAATATACAAATGCTTGTTCTGACATTGAAAAGGTTTTTTGTTTTTTTTGTTTAAAAATTTAATTTTTTTCCAAATTTTTTGTTGCCTTCATTCCAAAATTATTTATTTTTATTTATTTTCAGTCCATAACCGATTGTTTGGCCGTTAATCCACAACGCGTACTTCTTTGCCAGCATTTTCTTGACATTTACAAAGATTGTATTGCACAACACAGATCTAAACTTCTTCAAGACCAATTTCCTCAAGAAAAATAAAAAAAATAAATGTTTTGAAGTTAAAGAAAAATTAGGGTTTTTGTTTTGTTTTTTTTTTGTTATTTTTTTTTAAATTAGTAAAAGTAATTTTTCAAAAAAAAAAGTTATTTTTGATTTTGTACCTTGAAGGAGGAATGTGTTTATATTTTTGTCTCGAGTAAAGCTTTTATTTTTTTTAAATTTTTACTTTTTTTTAAGTTTTTTATTTAAACTTTAATTACCTGTTTTCCTTTAAAAAATATTTTTCTTATTTTTTAGTTTTTAATGGAATGTGGAAACGGCCAAAATATTGGCTATTTCTTCTCTTACTAATTTTTGTTAATTTAATTATTATTTGGATTAAATTTTGTGATGACAGTCTAGAAATTGAATATTCAAATAAAATAATTAAAAATCAAAATAATTATGGAGATTGGGGTCAATTTCAAAATGTCTGCTCAATTTCAAAATGTTTGGACCTCAGAAAATGTTTGTTACACCCAGAAAGACGCCTCTCAATCTATGTACAACCGATTTTGCGCTTTGTTGATTTGGTAAAGATTTTTAATTTTTAAAAATAAAAAATATTTAAAGGAGGAGGATTTGTTTGTCTGTTCGGCGTTACCATCCTCAGAGTTTTTGGAAATCCGCAAAATTATTTTACAAAGTGAATACAACGAAGAAGAAGCGTCAAAAGCATGTTTGATATTACCTGGGTTGGATTTACTTTCTCTTTTGGATTGCCCAATTGAAAATTATATAAAATTGTTGAATATAGCTAAAAGGTTTTTTAATTACTAAATTTTAATACAAAATTTATTTTTATTTTTTTAGTGTCCTTCCAATTAATTCAAATCTTATTTTGTTCAATTTTTTAGTAAATGAACATTACTTTAATCGTCCTTTCCCTTTTCCAGCTATATTTGTGAGGTATTTTAAGATTTAAAAAATTATTTTTTCCTCTAAATTTTCTTCAAGTTCTCAACATTCAATTAATTCATTCCGTCCAGCAATTGATTTTTCAATTCCTTTACCTACCCCTAAAAATTCCCCAACTTTATCAACATTTCCTTCAAATAATCAAAGAATTATTGATATTCTTATTCCATTAGAATTTTCAAACAATTTAAACGACAAAAATTTAATTTTTTCAACATTTTTAAATTCATCTTCATTTCGAATTAAATTTGTCAAAAAATGTAAAGATTCAGATGAGCTCCTTAATTTTAGAATTTGTGATGCTTTTTCTGATAAATATTTATCTGAAATTGATGAAATGATTGAAGTTTGTTTATTTTTTAAATAAAAAGTTTTTTTATTTTTTAGATTTCTAATTTTGTATTTATTTCTGATAATATTTTCTTTCCTCAAATGTTTATTTGGAAAGCACTTCGTGGAGGTGCAATTCCAGTTATTTTGTCTGATTCAATTTTACTTCCATTTTCTGACTTGATTGATTGGTCAAGGTAAATAAATTTATTTAAATAAAAATTGGAATAAAATGATTAAATTTATAAAGTATAAGTAGTTTGTTAAATTTAAAAAACAGTACATAAAATTAAGCTTATAATTTTTGCAATTTTAGTTGTTTGATTTTTAATTTTGACAATTTAGCTTTTAAAAATTCTAAATTCTTATAACTTTTCTAAATTTAGATTTTCATTTATTTTTGTTTCGTCATTACTTCCAAAAGTGCCACAAATTCTTCAATCTCAATCGCCTAATCGTTTATTTGAAATGAAAAAAATTGGAAAATTAATATTTTTTAAATATTTTTCTTCAATTGAAAATATTTTATTTTCAACAATTTCTGCAATAGAAGGCCGTATAATTCCTGGAAAATCAAAAAGTAAAAAAGAATGGAATATTATTGAACAAAATTTTTTTAAATGTCTATCATTTAATTACTATAAAAGGAAAATAACAATTCAACAATAATTTATAATTGTAATTTAGTTAATTTAAAAGGTATTTTTTAATTAAATATTTCTTTCTTATTATTTTTAAATTATTTAAGGCTTATTTTTTAGCCCTTTTAATATTCGAATATTAGATGCAAAATCTAAAATTTTCATTTTTGTTTTTAAAAAAATTTGAGTTTTATAGGCAAACTAGTATTTCCCTAAAATTTCAAAATCCAAAATTTTTTTCTTTTATAATTTCAGAAGATTAGAGATATCTCTAAATTTAAACAAAATTTAATTCAATCTCCCTGTCCATTTTTGAAGAAAAGTTAAAAATTCAACAAAATATCTGCAACCTTTGCTTAAAAATTTTCTTCATCCGTCTTTATATTTTATATGTTGTATTTTAATTTCGGATTCGATTATGAAAAAAATAAAGTCCCCATTAAATTTTGGTTACTGTATTTAATTTTAAATTTTAATCATTAAAATTTGATAGCAGATATTTTTTAAATTTATTTTTAGAAATTGTTTTTCTATTTCATTTCTAAAAATAACAATACAAACACTTTTCTGAGTGCTCCTATGATATATTGGCCAATGAGTTTATGCTCAATGTCAACTAGGTCCAACAACTGTCACACTTTGCTAATTTCCTCGTGGTTCAAGATTTTGCTGATAAATAAATTATTTTTTGTCAAATAAAAAATTATTTTTGAAAATAGAAGAAATCATCTTTTTTGTCAATATTCTTTTTTTCAAATTAATTTAAAAATTATTTAAGCAAAAAAAATATATTTTTCTTCTATTCTGAAACCAAATTATTTATTTTTATTTATTTTTCCTTTCATCACTTACTCACAATTTACCACATATCTGAACACGTTTCCCTCAAATAAAAGAATTTTTGAATAGGAAGAAAGAAATTTGATCCCAACAAAATTTTCATTGGCATTTGGAGGAATAGAGAAAAGGGTCCGAAAAGCAAGAAAAAAAGAGAAAAACTTGCTATTACTTACAAGCAAAATAAAAATATTAGAAAAAAAGTGGCGCCAACCGAAACTACGGGAAAGCAATGATGATGAACAAGCAATAATAGAGAGAGATGGGTGGTGTTCGTTTTTTTTTACTAAGAGGCAATCCTTTCCAACCTTTTCCCGTTTATTTTATTATTTTATTCCCATTTAATTGAAGAATTAAGTTTATAAAATTTGGCGATTTTATTTGTTTTTGTAAATACATTTACTCTCTCAATATTAAAAAAACATTTTTTGTTCTAATTTGCTCTGATTTTTTTGCACTAATTAATCTTTTCTTCACATTTTTTGAAGGAGCCCACCCACCCATAAAATCATTGATATACAATTTGGTGACCTAATTATTGTCTTTTTAACACCTCAAAATTAGATAAAAACGTCAAGGTTTATGAATTAAAAATCTAATTGATTTTTCACGTAAACGCGCGCCAGTCGTTTTAATAATGGTTTTATGATGAAATGTTTATTTGTGTAGATTGCCACACTTCTATGTATTTATTATCAATCAAATGGCAGGCTAAGAAAATTTCCTTGAGATTTAAGATATTATTTCTTTTTTTAATAGGAAGATACGAATTTTGCCTGATTTTCAGATTTTTCCTCTCAATACCCCCCCCCCCTCCTACCTCCCCTTTTTTACAGTTTCTTGCTGAACCTTTCACATTTTTTATTTTTTGATTTCATTGCCCAAATACTTTAAAAACGTTTAAAAAATACAGTCACAAATAAATATCGATTTAAAGAAAATTTCAGAGCTGATGAAGCAAAGGTTAGCTAAAATATATTTTAAAGGCTGGCAGCAAATATAAAATGGAAAGACTTTTTATTTATTCATTCAAATATTTACGTTTTTCCTTCAAATCGGCGGTTCTGATACTGTCAAATCGGCGCCATTTAAATCATTTATATTTCCTTAAATGCTTTTCCTCCCCCTCAATAAAAACTAACAAAACAGTCATTCCCTCCACCGTTACTTTCTTTTTTTACTCACGTCTTAGAATAATCGCCAGCCATATTGTTGAAATATACACAAAATTTTGTTTTTAATGATTTTTTCTTTCCCACATCTTGGCGATAATAAATAAATTCTTTCACGTTTTTATAAACTCATATTATCAGTACAAACACCTTACCAAACCTTTCAGTTTCGCTTATTCATTTTGTGGTCCAAACTATTTGTTTTTCCAGACAGTCCTTTAACGTGCACTCTTTATTTTTAACTTTTATCGTTTTTGAAATTACTTTTTATATGCTAAATATATTTTAATTTATTATACAATTAATAGTATTTGGTGGTTTTTTCTTCTAATAATTGATACAATTTTTGATTTAAAAAATAAATTATATTATTATTATTTTACCCCTTATGACGAAAACTAAAAAATATTTAACAACTCGTATTTTTCTAAATACTTTAATTCTGTGTAAATCAAGGTTCAGGGTTCCCCGAATTTCTTCCACAAGTTTTTCCTTATTTTGAGCAGATTCTTCTTTTTAAATTTATAATTTCCTGTCTTCTTCAAAATTTTACTTCTCTTCCCACTCAATTTCAATGAGTGAAGTATTTATCCCAATAAATAGCAATCAGCAACAACCAAAAAAGGAAAAGAGGTTAAGCTTCTTCTTGGCAAACCCTCTCTCACCCACCCACATATTCTCGAATAAATTGCAAAACATGTTCTCATGTATTTTTATTTTGAATTACTCCCCCACATTCTTTTCCTTTTTAAGAAGCATTTACAAATTCTATTTTTGTCCTTTCTCTTCAAGGATATTTTTGCTTTACTTTTTACTTTTCATTTTTAATTTCCTTTAATATTTATGTTAAATTTCAAAATAAATTTTAACGATAAAATAATGCTAACAAATATATTTATTTGTACAGACAGCACTTTTTAGTATTTTATTTCCTAAATTTTGAAAAGAGGGGACAATCAGAGTTTGAACATACAATTAAATATTTTAGAATTTATATATTTTTGATTTTAAAGCAAAGCTTATTTTTTGAAAAAATTTTGTTGTGAATTTTTGAATATAATTCACAACATAAGAAGCAAATTCTCGATTATTTTCTTCTCCC